ACAAAAATATATATAATGGCAAATACAGATTACTGCGATTGATGAAGATGGTTTGGTTTTCAAGAGCAACCAACTTCAGAATTCACGTCCTGAAGGGGTAACAGACTCAACCAAGAGGGTCAACTGGGGTCTGGTGGAAATCAACCAACAACCAGTACCACTAGATAGTTCCAAGAAGCAGGTAGGCCTATACATCCAGCGCAATTTAGTATACACTTGTTTAGGAGGACCCAAAAGGACTCTAATGTTTTAGAATACAGACGGGTTCTTTTTCCACAAATCTTTGTAACATGGAATTGATCATTCTTACTTTCATTTAGTCAAAATACTTTGTCGATTGTTCACAACTTATTATTTATCTTTTGAATTCCACATTTGAATGTACTTTATAGCGGTACCCCTCTTGCTTCTGATTATTGGCAATTGTAATATCTCTTCAATATTGTATTATCTAAATTTATTTAATGTCTTGAGCCATAATCACTCCAGTTACGATGAATTATAAATAGGAATATTATTATGGTAATCAGACATTTGCTTGGGTAAAAATATATATTTTGTTTTTATTTTAGGTTAAGAGTTAGGGTTGGGTAATTTATTAATTATTGATCCAGTGCTGAAGCTGAAACTGATCGCTTAAGTGAGTGACCTCGGAACAATATTATATTCGCCGGAGAATGGCTGTCGACCGTCAAATCGTGGACGATGGGTAACGATTATATAACTACAACAGACCAAACTACAACTATAACCAAACTGGAACTAGATCACATACGACAGACCTAAATGGGAAGACCATTGCTTTCTCATTAGTTTTTGATCACAAATTGATTAGGTCTGTACATTCGATCTTGTTTTCCAACAGTTATAAAGTGTCGATATTCAAGGTTTCCATTTCCTTATATGTTGTAATCCCAAATGGGACCACCATACTTGGTTTTATTCAGCCGTTGGTCACCAATTGATTAATTATTAATAAAATATAGCATTGATATTTCGAAGAGTCGACGTCATTTGAATTCCACATTTGAACTTACGTCTTACGTGTACTTATGTCTCATGTGATTTCTTTTAAAATGTTTAATCTAATTTATTTGACATCTTGAGAAAAATCTCTCCCACCTACGATACCGTTGAAAACGTGGATTTTGTGGGGTCCGGCCGTGGCACTAAATGTCATTTGGCAAAACACCACCGAGGTGATGAAAATGACCACGGCTAATGTCGATGATAATAGTACAGTGCAAAGAAAATCTAGTACTATTTAAGCACTTTATAAATGCTAGTATTATCATTGGTAGTAGTATTACACCGGTATAATGTGTTTCAAGGTTGGTATCTCATTTGTATATTTCCATTTACAGGTAGAGAAGCTTGTCTGTGATGCCGGGATTGAGCTAGCACTCGTCCTCCTTCCCATGGACCTTGTTCATCTGCTAAGAGATTCTTGCCCTGAGAAGTAGGATCAGTGTTGCGTAGTGTAGGTCCACCCATTGGGAGGGGGGGGGGGGGTATGCACTAGGACGATTACGGGGGAGGGGGCCCCTCTGCCCCTCTTATACAGCTACGCCATTTCATTTGACGAGTATGATCTGGAAGAAGTGAGAGTCTCAAGGCCTGATGACAAAATTAGTGTGTCACAAAGATTATTATAATTGGACTAAGTAATACATAGGCACTAATAGTTGTTGGTTCACCTGCTATAAGAGTCTAGGTGAGCAAAGAAAGCTCAGGGGTACGATCACAAGTTCAAATACCGTATTTTCAAATGAGTATGATTTGCTGAAGAAGCTATAATAGTGGTAGTCTAAAGGTCTGCCACAACAAAAATGAGCTAGTCTCAAAGACTAAATTCGTACTTAATCATTTTGCGTATCATGGATTATGAAATTCAATATAGGCCTATGATTGATACTACTGGATATGACGATATACATGCATTATATCCATATAGCAGCCATTAGAATAATGGTCGTGCAATTTTGATACACGGTGTCCCATTGTACATGGTAAACGGCAGACATTAATTAAGAATGTAGTCACCTCTATTATAAATTTCTAAGGTGATAAATTAAGTGATACAGGTTCAAAATTTAAAAGAAGTAATAATAAAGAAGAGTTTGACACGATGTCAACATTATATTATTTTTCACCGATGAACCGTGTGTGCTTTCACACTACTTTATTGGTATTTTTCCTTATTAGTTGGATTTAACGATAATTGGAACATGACTATTTACTTTTGTTTTGATTTTTCTTTTTTTGTAATTAATGAGTAAATTGTAGATAATGTCTAATTGTATTTACCTTTTCTGTCGTAATTGTTTGTGGATAATTTGTAAATTTGAGGATTTTACTATAATTCATTGCTCTTTGCTTTTCATTTTGAAATGGGATATTGGAGTATAATTATGTAATTTATGTTTTTCAATGATAACTTTGTTAGATTCAACAATGATTAGAACATGACTATTTACTTTAACATGTTTTGATTATTCTGTTTTAGTTAATGAGTAAGTTGAAGATAATGTCAAACTGTGTATTTACTTCTTCTTTCGTAATTGTTTATGAATTATTTGTAAATTTGAGGATTTTGCTATAATTCATTGCTCTTTGCTTTTCATTTTGAAATGGGATATTGGAGTATAATTATGTAATTTATGTTTTTCAATGATAATTTTGTTAGATTCAACAATGATTAGAACATGACTATTTACTTTAACATGTTTTGATTATTCTGTTTTAGTTAATGAGTAAATTGTAGATAATGTCTAATTGTATTTACCTTTTCTGTCGTAATTGTTTGTGGATAATTTGTAAATTTGAGGATTTTACTATAATTCATTGCTCTTTGCTTTTCATTTTGAAATGGGATATTGGAGTATAATTATGTAATTTATGTTTTTCAATGATAACTTTGTTAGATTCAACAATGATTAGAACATGACTATTTACTTTAACATGTTTTGATTATTCTGTTTTAGTTAATGAGTAAGTTGAAGATAATGTCAAACTGTGTATTTACTTCTTCTTTCGTAATTGTTTATGAATTATTTGTAAATTTGAGGATTTTGCTATAATTCATTGCTCTTTGCTTTTCATTTTGAAATGGGATATTGGAGTATAATTATGTAATTTATGTTTTTCAATGATAATTTTGTTAGATTCAACAATGATTAGAACATGACTATTTACTTTAACATGTTTTGATTATTCTGTTTTAGTTAATGAGTAAGTTGAAGATAATGTCAAACTGTGTATTTACTTCTTCTTTCGTAATTGTTTATGGATAATTTGTAAATTTGAGGATTTTGCTATAATTCATTACTCTTTACTTTTCATTTTGAAATGGCAATTTGAAGTATAATTTTGTAATTTATAATTTTTCAATGATTACTTTGCTATATCTCGCGATAACTCAATCGGTAGAGCAGTGGTCTCGTAATCCGGTGACCCCGGTTCGAAACCAAGGCATTAATCCTCATTACCAGGTCCCTCGGAGAGGACCTAAAGCCGTCGGCCGTCTGGTTGCTTACTTACAATCATTTGATGCTTTCTTAGCAGTCAGATAAAATAACCACCATCACATAACCACCATCACATATTTAACGATGATTAGAACATGACTATTCATTTCAACATGTTTGATTATTCTTTTGCAATTAATGAGTAAGTTGTAGACAATTTCAACCTGTGCATTTACTTTTCCTTTTGTAAGTGTAAATAGATTATTTGTATATTTGAAGACTTTGCTTAATTTCGTTTCTCTTAGCTTTTCATTGAAATGGTATATTTGAGTAGAAATATGTACTTTCATGTTTTTTTTATTGATTAATCTATTTCGATAGGTGTAGTACATTTGTTCGTATTTGTACAAACTTGTGTATATTGAAGTAATCCTTAATTGTGTATTCTATTATGATATATTTGTGGAGGGGTGGGGGGGGGGGGGTGGGGGGTGGGGACAAGTTTGCCTAGCACTAGGGCTGGTTCTAAAAGAACATACATGTATGTATACCCTTACCAAATTTTCCAATTTTTCAAGTAGGCCTGTATAAAAAGTTGATTTGTTCCAGAATGTAATGTGACGTATTAAAACTTACATCGAAATGTTTTCAAAACCTTTTATTCTTGAGTTTTAAAACACAAAAATCGTCAAATGTATCTGTATTAAACTGTATGTATCACGGTATGCTTTAGCTTTCCTAGAAGGGTTTGGGGTCAACCCCTGCCCCACAAAATAAATTGCAATAAATAATGATTGCAAGAACCCCCAATATATATATATATATATCTGTTTACACACACACACACACACACACGTACGTACGTATTTAACTTAAGGCGTCATTAGACGGACATTTGGAGTAAAATAATGAGGCATTGAGTACACATGGTCATAAGCAGGACAATTTCGTGTTCTTTTAACGATTGAAATAAAAAGTACTGCCCTCTGGGTACGTTTGCAGGCAGAGGCAACTTTAAAGCCTCCCAACAAACAAAAGGTTTCGTCGTTAGTCATTAGTTTAATTAATTATATTGTTTGAATTTAGGGTTAGTGTTAATATACCAGTTGTTATGATGTCCGATTAATGTACCATGTAGGGTCATATATATACGTGTCCGCCGAGTTGCTATATATTAATATTGATATATAATCTTATAATCTTATTAAATTATTTTCTTTATCTCTTTGAATGACAGACTCCTCGATGCTATTCAGAATGATACGTAGAAATAAATCACCTACAATACATTGACTGCCCCCTCCCCCCGAAATACATAATGCGCCTGCAATAGATATATCTCACTATACCGCCCTTTTTATTGCAAACCTTTTTTTGTTAGATATAACGTTAGACCTAAACCTAAAATAGATGGCAAAGCTCGTATCTATACTCACTGGCAATATTCATCGTCTGTATAGTGTCTAAATCTATTTCATAATTATCTCTCTGAATACCATTACGAAAAAAGAACAACCCATAAACATTGCTTACTCGTAGAATTAAAATCACACACTTTATTACAGAAAATAGAAATACGACAGATGATTCAACATGTGCAATGATTGTCTTCTTTAAAATCCAGTGATATTCTGAACATCCCGTTTAATTCATGTTTTTCATATTTTCTCATTTCTAAATATTGTCTCCTACTTTTAGTGAACAGTCATACATAATTTGGATCTTCTACTCAGTAATATTGTCAATATTAACTTATTATCAAACTTTATCAATGTACACAGAGGTCAATTCTTAGTTTTCATACATAACCGTTCTGTATTGGATTTTAAGCTGATCAGAAGAGGGGTTGATATACAAATCCATACGGATGAATTTTGTGTTTATTTAAGAATAACAAGAGTTGTTGTGGTCTAGGGGACACGTAACCGGACTGTGGATTTCATGATTCGCGGTTCGAGTCTAGCAGCGGCTTGAGTACCCCGTAGGAAGAAATTATTTGAATGCTTGAGCACCTTTTCACGGCAGCTCGGCTCAAGCCGGGGTAATCATTTGAGTGCAAGGCCTTCAGGGAGAACAGTATGAAAACTGATGAGGCTACCCTCGTTGTTATTGTTATTGTTATTATTATTATTATTATTGTAACATTTTATCATTGAAATACGGGATAAATATATGTAGCACTAGCAGTTAAACAGTTGTTGTTTCATATATATCCAAAAATGTGGTTCTAGGAATTGTTCATTCAAATTACAATCGTTTACCAGTATGTATGAATCTGAAAAATCTAATACATATATAGAAGTCCGGGAATACATATAATTAATTTGCCGTCTTGCAGCAAAGTTTTACGATCTTAAAATTACAGCTGTTTAAAAGTCAGCTGCCTGACGCCTGTCGTGAGGTCTAAACTTATTTCGAATACGAAAATATAAAATCTGATTAATTCGAAAGAAATCCCCACTACAAATCTCTTTCGAAAAGTGTTTTAAACACACTAGGAAGAAAATGATGATTGTCACGCAATTAAAATTCAAATCAAAGAAAAACATCACATCAAAAAAAAAAAATGTTCACTCACGGTACGAAGTGTTTATAGTGATATAATTGGGCATTTGCAAAATTTATGTCATCATTAGGAATACAAAATTGTTGTTAATATTATGATCACATTTTGAGAGGTACCAAACTATAGCTATCGTTTAAAAACGTTTCATGTTCATAGTGCTCTATTTTCAATTTAAAATGTAATTGTTCCATATATTGGTCCTGTCGTAATATTGACTTTGATAACAATATAAAAATCGGTAGCAACTAACAAAATTGTACGTTACGGATTATGTACATACTAATCATGCAAAACAAAAAAAATATCAAAATATCCATATTGAAAAATTGCTTTTATTTGTACTAAACATTAACTCTGACTTTTTAAATAATGATTTTCTTATTCATTTTGACAAAATTGAACTTCAAATCAAAACGCCCTGCCGGAGAATTGTTAAATTCTTAAAGGGCTTTAAAATTTTAATGAAGAGTGGTATTGGTGTGAATAAACGAAGTATTACATTTCAAGACCACACAAATACAATGGATTTACATCTTTAAAAAATCAGAATTGCAGTCAAACTTAATTTAAGCCTTTTTAAATACTGACGTAAAAGCAGGTATATAGCAAATATATACAAATTTAGAATTTTCTCACACACACATCAATTTAGATCGGCGGAAAAAATAAAATTAGAACATGCTAGTTTCTGCTTTTATCAAATCCGTTTTCGGAAGCAAATAGAAATTTGTCACACATGTTTAACGTTGCGCTCCGAATAGCAAACAAAACGTAAGTTGTGAACGTTCCAGTAAGCATCAGTTTCCTTCCTCAGCCGTCATAGACAATCGGATCTTATTCTGTATAGAAATGGGAGGTCGACAAAACATAAGACAAACTTTACAAACAAGGAAGTAAAGGTGCATAGCTTCATAAAATAAAGACAACGCCTGCAGTAAAATGTTACTCAGGAGGAGTTATCTGGAACTCATTACCTATTAACTTACAAAATTCTACATCTATTTCTTCATTTAAATACCTTTATAAAAGATTGTACTTTCATTAATGTTCTAAATAACCAATATCTTCATGGATGTGAACCCCTATTTTCCACTAAATATGGGATAGAAGAGGAGGATTGGCCACAAATGTATCTACTCCCATTTAAATGCACAATAGAAGTTAAGATGAGAGTCTTCCAGTTTAAAATTTTGCATAATATTCTATACACCAATGAGAGACTATTTAAAATGAAGCAAGTTCAGACAGAACTTTGCACATTGTGCGAGACCTCTGTTGAAACTCCTTTACACCTTTTTTATGAGTGTAAGGTTGCTGAAGATTTAAGACGAGCTTTTGTTGATAAAATTGGTCTAAAGCTATCTGTCAGATATGAGGATCTATCTAGGAAAAGAATGATGTTTGGATTCACAAAGGATTGGAAGGGACCACATAAAATATTATTAAATCACTTAATTATCTTATTGAAGAGATACATTTATATTCAGAAATGCAGGAATTTAGTAGTAAGTTTCATAGGTTTTGAAACGTTCATTTGCAAAATCAGACATATAGAATTGGTAATTGCTAAACAAAAGCACAAAGAAAACATGCACTATAGAAAATGGTCCCCTATTGAGAATTTATTTTAATTATCCATAATTATATTTTGATAATGATACAGTTCAAACCACCCGAGACTGATTTTTTAGTTTTTACATCAGGTCTGTTTGTTTGTTTGTTTGATTGTTTTTTTTTTTTTTTGGTGATTGTTACAGTGATTCGTATTTGATTATTGTTCTTTTAATGTTATACAATTATTTAATTCTTGTATGATTGTTGTTTTTGTAATGTTACAAAAAATTTCGAAAATCAATAAAAATTTGGAAAATAAAACAAAAATATCTTCATGGATGTGTGTACATATATATATCTTTTTTTTTACCCTACTTTAATAAATACAAGTTTGTTAGTTCTGTTTTTTCTTACATTGTTTCAAATCATTCTTTTTGTGATTCTGGGTAAACCTTTGAATGTAAATCTATGTGTCCAGTTGCTGGTTATTTTTTATAAAATGTTATATTATTCAATATCCATGTAATCTATTCATGTTTTGCATATTTCAATGATATTTGTATTTCATTGATATTTTGTATTTCATTGCTTGTATTTTACCATGTATGTATATATACAGGACCAATATGAAAAACAGCCTTGGTTGATATTGTCATCCTGTATAAATATTTTCAAATAAATAAATAAATAAATACATAAATAAATAAAAGTAATATTTCATGTACGGTACACTTCAATATATTCAAAAATGTGCATTTTACAACTAATCATGAATATCACGATGGTTCTTATAAGTAGAAATAGTAAAAAATCAAGATAAAAAACGTCTTCGTATGGCTAAGACATTGTTTTCCAGGGCAGAATGTACGAAGATTATTGATTTTAATTAATTAACCTTCACTGTGCACTGCAGTAATCTTTGCACATTTGAACATTTTCACCTTTGGTCAGAAATCTTAAAGCCAGATCCCATTAGTCATACAGGGATCTAAGATCTAACCCCCCCCCCACACCAAAAAATAAAATAATCCAATAAATGAAAAAGATGAATACAAAAATGAAAAAATGACGCAAGAAATGTATATAATGATAAAATACATGAAACAATAATAATTTAATACATACAAACATAAAAGAATACACGTACGTAAATGTATATCTGATCGTCGTTTTGCCGGTTCTAATTTTTTTTTAGCAACTTTGCATTATTGACATTTCTGACATTTCTGGATCTATTTTACTCCTTGGATGCGATTCGAAGCAGATATGTGCGCTTTACATATCTGAAATTTTAACCATCATTATTATCATTAATAGTATTATAAGTGTTATTATTGTAGTCATATCTGTTTCGGGCCTGTCTGTTCTACAATCACCGTTTGATGTAAAAAATACAAGGAATTACATACCCAAATTGTCCATGGTATCCTTAATCCAGGTAGTGTACCTCGAAATCCTGGCATATACTCCCGGGTAATTGGCCTGGGCACACCCTATACCCCAACTGGTAGATCCTACCAGATGCCAGCGACCATCGGCACCCTCACAAGTAAGCGGTCCTCCACTGTCACCCTGTGTTGTATAGGGATTTATATACATGCTGGATGTAATACTTTCATAATGAAAATTAAAACTTAAAAATTTAATATAATAACGTTTGAGGGAGCGTTATCTCTTACTATCATGGTCCGACGTACCTACCAGTAACAAAGGGCTCAAGAATCGAGAGAAACATACTGTAAAACACAAGAGGATTATACGTGGTATAGTATGCTGTAAAAATGCGAATATGATAATTGTTACAAAAACAAAGTAATAGATTCTTAAAATCTATATAATACACATGTATATGTATATATAATACATATACATGTTTATATATATCACATGAACTGTATCTCACTAAAATGTGAAAAAATATAGGTTACCGTTAAAAAGACCTTCTCTCTTATGACCAGACATTCGTCAAAATCAATACCTTGGGGGCGTTTAAGAAACTTGTGATCTGTGACAAATGACAGTCTGTGTTATAAGCTACTAAAATCCTTGCTTCTGATTGGTTATCAGCAGATTTGTCACTGATTTTTGCTGTTTGTCATTGAAAAAAGCTTGTCAACAGGTGCTTCAATATTACAACTTTCAATCTGTACATGTGTCTAAGTTTAAAACGGCGAGTAATTTCCGGGGTGTTATGGATAAGAATTAAAACAGAAAGTCCATAAAAACTATGCCCTACAATGAGCCAAGTACTAATCATATTTCTAATTACTTTACCTTTGATAAGGGACGCAGAATTAAATAATACATGTACCTATACCAACACTAGGAAGAATGTAGCGGTACAAACAAATGTAATCTTATGTATCATTTTATCTTGGAATGGCATCACAAAATAAAAAAATATCCTGATCTAAAAAACCTAGGCAAGGTATTAAAGTATTCGAACGTTGTAAACAAATCCTAAGCACATCGAAAAAATACAATTTTGACTTAATAACTCAGTGGAAAAAACAAGAGTGGAAGGTCAAAATTCCATTCCACGTGGCTTTTTTCATTTTCTTATGTCTTAGTTTTGGAAACTGTGTTTGCCCACGTCCATTGGGTGCCCAATTCAAGCCGAGACACTGGTCTCGAACGTATATTTCAAACGGAAGGGGGTGGGGTGTTGGGTTTAATTGTGAATAAGCGGGATGTAGGTTTCCAAAGGTTAATTAGGGTGTGTATCGTGCACTATAGTAAGTTATTTCAGGAAAATAGGAGAAGTTATCAAAATATGATATATAAAGAAATCGTTGAAATGTGCTATACATTGTAATTAACCGAGAGCACAGATACAACCCAAATTTTTTTTAAGGAATTTGATTTACCTGACAAGAATCTACTCCGCCTTCGATGTATCCAGCACACAACTCAGCTTCTTCTACAATACCGTATTCACCGTAAAGGCCATTACAGATGTCATGGCTGATTATATTCACCAATGCTTTCTGAAGATCATTCGAAATAAAACCTGTAGAAAACAAGTGCAGAATCGGATCATATTAATACCGGCTTGATTTTTCTTGTGTCTCACATGGTTTTGGATTTATTAAGTTGATACAAAAATTGCGATTCTCGGTTTGGGAAAATTATTATCTATCATTGAAATTCTATTCAGATGGTAATTGAATTAATATGGATAAAAAAAGTAAAAGGCAATATGTTTTATTTGTGGAATGACTTTACCTCCAGAAGACGTAGTACCCCATCCTGCGATCCAACATCTGCTGTATGCCATCGTCTCATTTTGTATCGTAGCTAGGCAAGCTGGTCTTACGTAATCGTTGAATTCCACTGGTTCCGAAAGATGGACTAGTGCGATATCATTCGCTATGCCATTGATATCACCGTAATCCGGATGCATGACGACGCTGTCAGCCTCTCTTACCACCTTATGCTCATGGCTATCTGACAGATGACGAATGCCAAGGGTAACGGTGAAATCACTAGCTTCCATCCCATCTCTGTATTTTGGGTAATAAAATATATAGGCAATGTATTACAAGATAGTTGGGATGTATGGGAAGCAATCAGGGGTTTTTCAAGAACGAGAACATGACATATTTCATGAATTATGAAACATGAAATAACTTAGGCACAATGATGAAAAGAACAAAAATACATAGGTCATCTGGTGTTATCTTAAATGTTATTACACTTATACAAAGAAAAAACCTTCCATGAATAAAATTCATGTGATTGGTAAGTAAAAAGATGTTTAGATATCAATCCTAATCTTAACAATAACTTAAAATGAACGGAGAAATTGTTTTTGAAAAGCATCAAGAAATCTGAGAATATACTTACGCGCAGTGAGCTGCAGTCAGGACCCATTGGTTGTTTATCAAAGTACCGCCACAGAAATAGCCTCCCATCTGAACAGAAGCGATCCAAGGGAATTCCCCTAGTTCAGCATTGACTCCTCCCACTATTCTAGAGTGGTAGTCATCGACAGCTGGGCGAGTACCGCATAAGGATTCCCCTGTCAGATCTGTGTTAATGAAAGACATGAGACCAAGATGCTAATTAAAGATATATCGCCAATTAATCTTACCAGGCCGAACAAATCTTGCCAATGATGAACATTTCTGAACACATGACTATTGACTTGGAGAGGAGGAAATCTAAAGCGAACCTTACCGCCTTCTCCACCAATACAGTATGATTCCTCAAGATTTTCGTCATCACTCAGTTGTCTACAATCAATCGGCAAGTCTTCGTCCATCAATGCTTTGTAAGATTCTCGACAGGCATCGGTGACTTCCTCACAAAGAGCCTTGCAGGGGCGTCGAGACGGACCTCCGTGGGGGCAGTCCGCAAAAAGCATACTGCAGAAGAGGAGCAGAAAGTCTTCATGGCATTCTTCCAAAATGCTTGTTTCTTCAATCAAACTGATTGCACTATCACGGTCTTGCGCTGTTGGGTTTGGGAAGTATGTCCGATTGTAGGATAGCAGTTCTTCGCAAGTTGAGAAACGGAGATCAGTACAATGGGCTGTCAAAAGATAAAAATAACTATTTAAGAAGACAGTAGGCAAATATTAATCGACTACGAGGGTAATGGTACAAACTATCACCGAAGCGAGCATAGTTAGTGTACATTTTCCGAGTGAAGGAAGTTAATATTTGTTTTATATCCCACATCGGCAATAAGGTCTATTTAAAGAAATGATTTTGCAGACAGTTTAGCTTCAGCTAGATTTTATAAAGCACAACACGCATACATGTAATACAGTCGATGCGCGCTCATTTGACATTGCCATTGACATCGACATTTCACGTAACCTACTTTGCTACGCTTATTCAATGGGAAAGTTGGGCAGCAGCAAAACATTACGGTACAAAAGTCCTAAAGCAGGGAGGTTTTTTTCTATCATTCATCATGTGACCTCGTTTAGACCAATTAGATTGCAAGATTCTTAGTATGCGGGATATAATTGCTACTGTATCCATAAAAACAAACAGATTGTCATACTTTCCTTCCTTTGGAGAATTTCAGAAGTCGATACAATAAATTGGGATTCATGTAGAAAATAAGAAAAAATCGAGTGAAAGAGAACTTGTACACACAGAATTTGACGGTTAGTTAATAGTATCTGTTCTATTCCTTATGTATATTTTGTTTGCATTAAGATTGTACAGAGCACGAAAAAGGGATAGTTTCAGTATTGATTTTGAGAGAGTGAAAACATTTACTATTTAGCGTAGTATAGTAAATTCCGGAATCCACTTTTTCAACCGATCACCGATATTTCTGCGTTCGATATCTAAATTTCTTTAATGAGCGCGCAAGCTAAATCCCCCGCCTTAACTTTCTTCAGCCGGTATGATGTGCATAGCCATCGGGAGAGTTCTGGCACTGCGTGTGCGTAGGCTAGGATCGCGCATTGAGAAAAGCAGCTGAAAAAAAAAAACTTAGTTCGACAAAATGGCTGCTTCCAGTAGTGACCGTGGTGAAATGGCTGCCGTCTATACCCGTTTTCACCTGTTAGATGTGGAAGAATCGTTGAAATTTAACGAAGGAGGTGACAGCCTGGCAAAAACACGAAGAAACAGATCAGGTACGGACTTTCTGTCTTTCGGGTTTTTGTAAGGAAATAAAAGCCGAATTCGATGGTGATCTTGTGGATAACGAAGCCCTACACCTCCTTCTCTCGCAGTTCTACGCTGGAGCTCGTAATCAAAACGGCGACAGCAAGGAAACGATGCAGGCTTTGCGATTTAGCCTTCAAAGGCATTTCTTGGTGTCATAAAATGTGGACGTTACTAATTAAAGGAGGATTCGTTTTCGAGAAGTGGGAAAACGTTCAAAGTTGTTGTGAAAAATCTAAAAGCAACAGGAAAAGCTGCTGTGAAACACCGCTCTGCCATTCCGAAGGATGAAATGACGATGATTCTGCAAAGTCTAGATTCATCCTCTGCCGATGGTCTCCAAAAGAAGGTTTTCCTTGACACCATGCTGTATTTTGCTAACATAGGTATGGAGAATTTGAGGAACATGACGCCAGGAGATTTTGTCCTCAATGAAGCTGACAAAAATGACGGTTAGTACTGTACACTCCGTGATATGCATGCCTAAATCATGCAGATGATGATGATGAGAGCCAGGCAGGACAGATGTGTTCCTTGCCAGGAAATCCACTTTGCCCTGTAACCAGCCTCGAAATGTATCTGTCCAAACTGAATACTGACTGTAAATGGATGTGGCAGAGGCCGAAATGTTTCATGGTATATGCAAATGCACCGCTTGGAACGAATACATTGGGCTCAATGTTGAAGAAAATCTGCCAAGAAGCAGGCTGCAAAATCTACACAAATCATTCCCTGCAAGCTACTAGCATCTCACTTCTGGACGAGGCAGGATATCCATCCCGAGACATAATGACGGTGTCTGGCCATAGAGCTAAAAGTTATACTAAGAACTACGCACGCACAAGTGAAGCCAAGAAAAAGATGATGTCAGAAACATTGTCAGAAATGTACCCCACAAACTCGAAGACCAGTGGCAGTGCAAATAATGAAGGACATCCATCTACATCTAAGATTACTCTCACTGAGGACATGCATGCCGAGCCTGAGAATGAAAACATGCCACCATTAACTGATAGTCAGCTGGAGCGGGTTTTCGATCAAATATCACAACGGGCACTACTGGGAGCACCAATACCAGAGCCTCCTAAACGATAAACGTCATTAAAGATCGACGGCCAGAATATCCTTTTCATGGCTGAACGGTCAATATTTTCAATAAGTAAAACAAGGAAAAGCTATACGTTCGTGGTTTTGCTTTGACTTTTGAGACTTTATATTGAATTGTTCGACGCTGTTTATACTTGGGAGTTCTGGCATTTAAAAACACGTTTTTGTGAAATTCAATTGACTTGGATGAATTTCGATTTATCTGGAAACTAAGAAGGAATTTTAATCTGTAAGTCATTCACCTTTTCTTCCCTATTTATTTAATTTAGGCCTATGCTGCCGAATGCTCACAGTACATGTTTCTTTGTAATAGTGAGATGCTAATGTCTCATGAGGGATACAAAACATATATACAATGTCTTACTCGGGTCTAGCAAACTATGAGCATTCAGAGGCATGAATATAGTAACTTTTCTTCGAGGTAAATTTGATATTAATTTGCTCTCGGGAAAGTTACTATTTATGCCTCTTCATCAGCTCATAGTTTTTCCTAGACCCTCGAAAGGTATTGTATGTTTGTATGTTATTCTCCCAACTCTGTACGTCATGAAAACTTACGACATAAATCTTCGTCAGAGAAGTCCGAGCAATCATTCTCTCCATTGCATACATCATCAGATTCCAGACAGGTATCATCACCGCACAGGAAGTCACATTCATCAGTGGAATTATCTGCAAAGAATGGCAAACATCATTATTACCAATAGTAAAACCATCTTAGTTGACAAAGAGTTTTCTTGAGTGGTCAAATACATAGAAAGTACTTCATTGTTATGTAATTTCAAAGCAAATCCTGTAGGTGTGTATATCGATATATATGTTTTTTTTTAATTATCTCTGTTTAATAGCAAATATATCATATCTTTAAAATGGAATAAAGCATATTTGAGGTATTTTTTTAGTCAGGAAACAATATCTGACCATAATTATACTAATCATAATTATACACGTACTTCTAATACATTTCCGCCAGTTAATGTTGCAATAGAAAAGTGACACATACAATTTTATGCAGTTTTTTAACATTTGAATTGAGAAAAGCATATGGACAGAACACATACCGGTATTTGTGTGGTTATAAAGCACCTAAAGGTATCACATTCAGAACAGAACTCTACAGCCCCTTTATCATGTTTATTGTGGAATACAATCATTCACCGGCATGTCAACTGCGATATGTTGAGCACGAAGTGCCCGAGTGTCGTCATATTTGTATGATGAGATGTCTGTCTGCTTGAATACCATCATATTCGGGCAGCGAGGAAGGAAATGTCCTAATTTGTACAAACTTTATTCAATGTCATATTTACTTGCTTGCTTCGCTCGCTTATGAATATTTAGAAGCTATGACATTTTATAATGGGGCAAGCGATATCATCTCCTCCAAAATAACAACTAATTGAACTTACCTTCATTATCTGTAATAGACGAATCTGAAGAAAGAATAAATAGAGGCAAAATTACCAAGATGATTTTATCAAAGATGATTAGGCATGCTAAATAAAAATATATTTTTAGCAGTTGTATGTACTTCATATTTTCATAGTTAATTGACTTTTGCCGTTGTTTATCAAAATGTAGTTTTTCCTATCGAAAAAAAATTGGTCAAGCTGAAATAAAATCGCATCTTCCTTTCAATGTAAGGAAATTGCTGATCCATTTCTCACCAAATGAATGTTAAATATCAAGCGCAGACTACTTTACCGTCAAACTCCATCGTGTCTTTGATCCAGTCTGTGAAGTGCGAAATCCTGGCATAAACGCCTGGGTTATTGGCCTGGGCACACCCTATACCCCAACTAGTGGATCCCACTAGATGCCAGCGACCATCAGCACCCTCACAAGTTAGTGGTCCTCCACTGTCACCCTGTGTTGTATAGAAATATTTTATCAAAAGTAAGAAAAAGTAAAAGAACAACTGCCTTGGGTAAGAGGGACTCTTCAAAATTGTAAGTAGGACCAAAAGTCTATGATACGTTATTGGTTTTCGCAAAAGTTTTCGAGTCCAAAATATTTTTTTCAATTGGTAGACGCAAAGTTAATCTCTGGCCTCAAGACTATCGAAGCGTAATGTTCAGTGGGACATTAGAATTACTAAAGATTTGGGACACCCAATAATTGATTTCGTTCATAATGAAATATGGCAATTTACCTGGCATGAATCCACTCCGCCTTCGATGTATCCAGCACACAACTCAGCTTCTTCTACAATACCGTATTCACTGTAAAGGCCATTACAGATGTCATGGCTGATTATATTCACCAATGCTTTCTGAAGATCGTTCGAAATAGAACCTGTCGAAAAAAAGTGCAGAATCGGGTCACATTAATACCGGCTGGATTTTTCTTGTGTTTCACATGGTTTTGGATTTACTAAGTCGATTCAAGAATTGCAATTCTCGGTTTGTGAAAAAATAATATATCATTGAAATTCTAATCAGATTGTGATTGAATTAATATGGATAAGAAATGTAAAAGCTATATGTTTTATTTGTGGAATGACTTTACCTCCAGAGAACGTAGTACCCCATCCTGCGATCCAACATCTGCTGTATGCCATCGTCTCATTTTGTATCGTAGCTAGGCAAGCTGGTCTTACGTAATCGTTGAACTCCACTGGTTCCGAAAGACGGACTAGTGCGATATCATTCGCTATGCCATTGACATCACCATAATCCGGATGCATGACGACACTGTCAGCCTCTCTTACCACCTTATGCTCATCGCCATCGGACAGATGACGAATGCCAAGGGTAACGGTGAAAGCACTAGCTTGCATCCCATCTCTGCATTTTGGGTAATAAAATATATAGGCAATGTATTACAAGATAGTTGGGATGTATGAAACATGAAATTGCTTAGGCGCAATGATGAAAAGAACAAAAATACATAGGTCATCTGGTGTTATCTTCAATTGTATTACGCTTATACAAAGAAAACACCTTCCATGAATAAAATTCATGTGATTGGTAAGTAAAAAAGATGTTTAGATATCAATCCTACTCTTAACAATAACTTAAAATGAACGGAGAAATTGTTTTAGAAAAGCAACAGGAAATCTGAGAATATACTTACGCGCAGTGAGCTGCAGTCAGGACCCACTGGTTGTTTATCAAAGTACCGCCACAGAAATAACCTCCCATCTGAACAGCAGCGATCCAAGGGAATTCCCCTAGATCAGCATTGACTCCTCCCACTATTCTAGAGTGGTAGTCATCGACAGCTGGGCGAGTACCGCATACGGATTCCCCTGTCAGATCTGTGTTAATGAAAGACATGGGACCAAGATGCTAATTAAAGATGTATCGCCAATTGATCTTACCAGGCAGAACAAATCTTGTCAATGCTGAACATTTCTGAACACATGACTATTGACTTGAAGAGGAGGAAATCTAAAGCGAGCTAACAACTTACCGCCTTCTCCACCCATACAGTATGATTCCTCAAGATTTTCGTCATCACTCAGTTGTCTACAATCAATCGGCCAGTTTTCGTCCATCAATGCTTTGTAAGATTCTCGACAGGCATCGGTGACTTCCTCACAAAGAGCCTTGCAGGGGCGTCGAGACGGACCTCCGTGGGGGCAGTCCGCAAAAAGCATACTGCAGAAGAGGAGCAGAAAGTCTTCATGGCATTCTTCCAAAATGCTCGTTTCTTCAATCAAACTGATTGCACTATCACGGTCTTGTGCTGTTGGGTTCGGGAAGTAAGTCCGATCGTAGGATAGCACTTCTTCGCAGGTTGAGAAACGGAGATCAGTACAATGGGCTGTCAAAAGATAAAAATAACTATTTAAGAAGACAGTTTCTACTGTATCCATAAATAAACAGAAAACTCGAGATTCGAGACAAAATAGATATAGAACAAAACAGATTGTCATAGTTTCCTACATTTTGAGAATTTGAGAAGTCGATACTATAAATTGGGATTCATGTAGAAAATAACAAAACATCGAGTGAAAGAAATTTTTTGTACACACAGAATTTGACGATTAGTTAGTAGTAAGCAAATATTAATCGACTACGAGGGTAATGGTGCAAACTATCATCACCGAGGCGATGATAGTTTGTATCCATTGCCCGAGTAAAGGAGGTTAATATTTGTTTTATAACCCACATCGGCAATAAGGTCTATTTAAAGTGAATTTTACATTATTAAAACAACTGATTTTTGCAGACAGTAATTTAGCTTCAGCTAGATTTTACAAAGCACAACATGCGTAGGGCCTATGTAATACAGTCGATGCGCACTCATTTGACATTGACATTGACTTTGACATTTCGCGTAACCTACTTTGCTATGCTTATTCAATGCGCAAGTCGCGCAAGTGGGGCAGCAGCAAAAAATTACTTTACAAAAAGTAGATAATACTAATCTATACCCTTTTCGTGCTCTGTACAATCGCAATGCAAACAGCTATACATTAGGGATATAATTTCTGTTATATCCCTCATGTATATTTTTTTGCATTAAGATTGTACAGAGCACGAAAAAGGGATACTTTCACTATTGATTTTGAGAGAGTGAAAACATTTACGATTTTGCGTAGTATACTAAATTCCGAAATCCACCTTTTCCACCGATCACCGATATTTCTGCGTTCGATATCTAAATTTTTTCATTTTTTGGAGTGCAACGAACGCGCAAGCTAAATCCCCCGCCTTAAGTTTCTTTAGCCGGTATGACGTGCATATAGCCACCGGGAGAGTTCCGGCACGGCGTGCGCGTAGGCTAGGATCGCGCATTAAGAAAAGCAGCTGAAAAAAACTTAGTTGGACAAAATGGCTGCTTTCAGTAGTGACCGTGGTGAAATGGCTGCCGAATATCTCCGTTTTCAACTGTTAGATTGTTGAAATTTTACAAAGGAAGTGACAGCAAAAACACGAAGAAACAGATCAGGTACGGACTTTCTGTCTTTCGGGTTTTTGTAAGGAAATAAAAGCCGAATTTGATGGTGATCTTGTGGATAGCGAAGCCCTACACCTCCTTCTTTCGCAGTTCTACGCTGGAGCTCGTAATCAAAACGGTGACAGCAAGAAACTGATGCAGGCTTTGCGTTTTAGCCTTCAAAGGCATTTTTTTGCGTCAAGTAATGGGGACATTACTAAGGAGGATTCGTTTTTGAGAAGTGGGAAAACGTTCAAAGCTGTTGTGAAAAATCTAAAAGAAACAGGAAAAGCTGCCTTGAAACACCACCCTGCCATTCCGAAGGAAGACATGACGATGATTATGCAAAGTCTAGATTCATCCCCTGCCGATGGTCTCCAAAAAAAGGTTTTCCTTGACACCCTGCTGTATTTTGCTAACAGAGGTATGGAGAATTTGAGGAACATGACGCCAGGAGATTTTGTCCGCCATGAAGCTGACAAAAAAGACGGTGAGTACTGTACACTCCGTAATATGCATACCAAAAATCATGCAGATGATGATAATGAGAGCCAGGCAGGACAGATGTGTTCCTTGCCGGGAAATCCACTTTGCCCTGTAACCAGCCTCAAAATGTATCTGTCCAAACTGAATACTGACTGTAAATGGATGTGGCAGAGGCTGAAATCAATAGCAAAAGTAACTGATGTTTCGTGGTATATGCAAATGCACCGCTTGGAACGAATACATTGGGCTCAATGTTGAAGAAAATCTGCCAAGAAGCAAGCTGCAAAATCTACACAAATCATTCCCTGCGAGCTACTAGCATCTCACTCAGTGGCGTACCTGGGGTACTCAGTCAGGGGGGGGGGGGGGGCAAGCGACCTAAACAAACAAAAAAGGCGATGATAATTTTCACTTCTTGCGAGCGAGCGAGCAAAACAAAATCTTTAAGTAACGTTTGGTATATAAATTGGTATTGTTGCAAGTTGGGGGTTGGAACATTCACTTGTTAGCGACGTTAATTTCATTTTTTTTGCAAACGAGCGTAGCGAGCAAGAAAAAAAATCACTTATTTTTTAATAATTGCCACTTAAACTTGGTTCAATTGTCCCATGCAGGGCGCGGGAACAATATTGTGTTTAGGGTGATTTCATACCCATTTTAGCTAGCGAGCCAAAATACATCTTTCTCTCAATGAATTGCTATATAAAATTTGTTTCATTGTTACAGGTCGGGGGCGGGCACAATCGTGTTTAAGGCAATGTCAATCATTTCTCTTTTTAATGATATTGTAGCAGGTTAGTGGTGGGCACATAATTCCACGAGCTCGCGTAGCGAGCGAGCGAAACAAATCACTTCTCTTTTATAGGGAAAATATGGTACATAAAACTTGGGTTCATTGTTCAATGTCAGGGACGTGATTATTAAAGCAGTGTTATTTCTATTTTGGCGAGCGAGCGTAGCGAGCGAGCAAAAGAAACACTTCTGTTTTATAGGGAAAATATGGTACATAAACTTGGGTTCATTGTTCCATGTCAGGGACGTGATTATTAAAAGCGGTGTTATTTCTATTTTGGCGAGCGAGCGTAGCGAGCGAGCAAAATTTTTGTAATGATAATTGGTTCATAAATTTCAGATTTTTTTTGTTGCAGGGCAGCTAGGGCTTACACAATCATGTCTAAGGTGATGTTAATTCCGTTTTGGCGAGCACGAGCAGACCAAAACTTCTTTAAATAACGTTTGGTACATAATTATTAACCGGTTGTTGCAGGTTGGGGCGGGCACGTTAGCGGTGTCAATTCCATTTTGGCGAGCGAGCATAGCGAGCAAGCAAAAAAATTTCTCTTTTAATAGAAATTAATGAATAAACTAGTTTTTATTGGTGCAGGTCAGGATGGACGCAATCGCGTTTAACGCGATTCAATTCCTTTTTGGCGAGAGGGCGAAAAAACTCTTCCATTTTTAATGATATTGTTGCAGGTCAAGGGTAGGCACAATTGTTTCCAAGCAATATCTATTCATTTTATTCGCGAGAAAGTGTAGCGAGCGAGAAAAATGAATTACTCTCTTTTAGTAACATTTGGTACATACACTGTGTGTTATTGTTGCCATGGTTGCAGGTCGGGGCCCGTCGGGGCAGGCACAATTGTATTCTAGGCAATCCTTTTCTTTTTTCAGGGGGACGAGCAAGTGAAAACATTTAATACAAAATAGGCTAGCAAGCAGTTCGTGCCAGCGAAGAGTTTCGAATTTGTTATATCACTTATATTTTCCTATTTTCATTTGTCTTCATTTTTCAGGGCCATATGCGGAATATTTTTCTGGTGGGGGAGGGGGAAAGATGCGTTAAAAGTTTTCGAAGAATCTCAAAAGCAAAAGGAGTGAAGGGAGTTCGAGCGACCGAACTGGTCATGAGGGTACTTTTGCATTTTCAAATGTAGAATTGAAGGATTTGGTATAGGCCTACACTACATTTTCAGGAAATCTGCCTCCCCCCTGGTGCGTACGGCCATGGTCTTTTTTTTTTTAATATCCCCATTTTTTTCCTTTCCTTTTCTTTTCCCTTTTTCTTCCTTTTCTCTTCTTCTTCCTTTTTTCTTTCCTTTTCCTTTTTTTCCTTTTTTATCTTTCTTTCCTTTTCTTTTTTTCTCTTTCTTTCCTTTCCTTTCTTTTCTTTTCTTTCCCCTTTTTCTTTTTTTCCCCTGGAGCCCGTCAGGGGGGGGGGGCACTCTGCCCCCTGCCCCCTGCCCCCTCCATAGGTACGCCAGTGATCTCACTTCTGGACGAGGCAGGATATCCATCCCGAGACATAATGACGGTGTCTGGCCATAGAGCTGAAAGTTCTATTAAGAACTACGCACGCACAAGTGAAGCCAAGACAAAAATGATGTCAGAAATATTGTCAGAAATCCACCCCACAAACCTGAAGACCAGTGGCAGTGCAAATATTGAAGGACAACCATCTACATCTAAGATTACTGTCACTGAGGACATGCATGCTGAGCCTTAGAATGAAAACATGCCACCATTAACTAATAGTCAGCTGGAGCGGGTTTTCGATCAAATACCACAACGGTCACTACTGGGAGCACCAATACCAGAGCCTCCTAAACGATAAACGTCATTAAAGATCGACGGCCAGAATATCATTTTCATGGCTGTACGGTCAATATTTTCAACAGGTAAAACCAGGAAAAGCCATCCATGTAATAACGTTTGTGGTTTTGCTTTGACTTTAAGACTTTATATTGAATTGTTCGACGCTGTTTATACTTGGAAGTTCTGGCATTTAAAAACTTGTGTTTGTGAAATTCACTTGACTTGGATGAATTTTGATTTATCTGGAAACTAAAGAGAAGGAATTTTAATCTGGTAAGTCATTCACCTTTTTTCCCTATTTATTTAATTTAGGCCTATGCTGCTGAATGCTCACAGTATATGTTTCTTTGTAATAGTGAGATGCTAATGTCTCATGAGGGATATAAAACAGATATACAATGTCTTTCTCGGATCTAGCAAAAACTATGAGCTAATGAAGAGGCATAAATAGTAACTTTTACGAGAGCAAATTTGATATAAATTTACTTCAAGGAAAAGTTACTATAGTTATGGCTCTGAATGCTGAAAGGTATTCTCCCGACTCTTTACGTCATGTAAACTTACGACATAAATCTTCGTCAGAGAAATCCGAGCAATCATTTTCTCCGTCGCATACGTCATCAGATTCCAGACAGGTACCATCACCGCACATGAAGTCACATTCATCAGTGGAATTATCTGCATAGAATGGCAAACATCATTATTACCAATAGTAAAACCATCTTGGTTGACAAAGAGTTTTCTTGAGTGGTCAAATACATAGAAAGTACTTCATTGTTATGTAATTTAAAAAGCAAATCCTGTGGGTGTGCATAACTATATTTTTTCCCTTTTAATTATCTCTGTTTAATGGCAAATAAATCATATCTTTGAAATGGAATAAAGCATATTTGAGGTATTTTTTGGAGTCGGGAAACAATATCTGACCATAATTATACTAATCATAATTATACATGTATTTCTAATACATTTTCCGCCAGTAAATGTGGCAATAAAAAAGTGACACATACAATTTTATGCAGTTTTTTCAACATTTGAATGGAGAAAAGCATATGGACAGAACACATACCGGTCTCAAACACCTTGATTTCAATCCAAAAGCCTGTTCTTCTTTCAGAATGGTCAGATGTAAATATCAACCACATATGATTGTTAGTAGAAATAACGTCATTAGGCAACGAGTAACCGGTAAGATTCCCCAACTCCGATGACTGTACCCGCGGATCTAAACCGGAACCGACTTTAAGGAAGTCATAGTCAGATTCAAGATCAAACGCGTGAAACTTTGCCACAATCCGGTATTTCTCTGGTCCAGAAACAAGCCATTTCATGTTTGCGTCGTTGGGATAATTATCCGGATAGTTAGGTGAAACAATGGTCAAAGATTCACCGTAAGTAAACATGCTGACCTCGGTGCCATTGAACAGATCTGAAACGAGATTTGCGATATCATGACCGTGAGTAATGCAGGTACTTGATTTATCTAACAACTGTAAGACACATTGAAATAATCAACATTTATGTAACGGTGCTTCCTCGTCATCCCAGCTATTACGCAAGATTTTATTAAAACCGATAAGGAATTCGGTTATGAATTATTTCACTTAAACAAAAAATTATAGTTGGCTTGGCTTGGTTCAATGTGTATTTGTAACGTTCAACTTTTGCAGCCTAATACAAATTTTGTACAAAGTCTGCCATATTTGTTTTAAACCTTGAGTTACATTTTTGGCCCTGTTATAGTGATACTTAAATAATCGCTTAAGTGATGAAGATATAGTTATTTATTACCAGTTATATTTTCCTGCCTGAAGACCATGATCTCAATCCAGAATCCATCTCTTCTGACGGAGTCGTCGGAAGTAAAGTTCAGCCACATCTCATTGTTGATGGAAACCACTTCGTCTGGAAGAGAAGAACCTGCCAACTGCACCAACTGTGAGGTCAGATCACCCGCGTTGAGACCAGAACCAATTCGCAGGTAGTCATAGCCGGACTCAAGATCAAAGGTGTGAAACTTGGCCACAGCCCGATAGTCTTCTGGTCCTGAAACGAGCCACTGAACATTGGCATGGTTCGGATATTTGTCAGGGTAGTTTGGTGATACGATGGTCAAAGATTCACTGAGTCCAAAGAAACTGACCTCGTTGGTAGGGGCGTCATCTGAAAAGCAAATGTTGGCATGGCTTTGTTAATATAACAAAAAGTGGGAATCACACTTTAAGAATGAAATATAGAGTTTTAAAACCCCGACATGCATAGAAAGAGGTATTTGTTTCACAATGACAACTAGACTCTGACAATAAAAGGAAGAGGTGACAAGTGAAAGAAGTGAATTTCTTGAACTCACTTTGCTCAAAATCTCACTGAAAAACAAAATGTGTGACATCAGACACAAACGGAATCTGCGGGTAAAACGGCCGCAGCCCCTTCACCCCACACCAACACGCATTAGAAAAATCCACCATTAGCAACAACCCTTTCTCATTGTAAAACAATTCTTATTCTTAAACATCCCTCGGCCCCTTCAAGAGCATAACAAGTGCGGACATGATTCCCGAAATTGTTGTCTTGAATCTACCCCTTGGGTAAAAAACAACAACAACAGTTGATATGTATTACCTGTCATGTTAACAACTGAGATCTGTATTGAAAATCCTTGTCTTGTCACTGAGTTGTCTGAGGCAAAATTCAACCACATTTCATTGCTGATGGAAACCACATCCTCAGGAAGATTAGAACCCGATAGCGTCACGAGTAGCGAAGTTTGATCGCTTGAATCAAGACCCGAACCGATTGATAAGAAGTCATAGCCGGATTCCAGCTCAAATGAGTGAAACGTGGCCCCTATCTGAGAGTCTGGTGGTCCAGAGACAAGCCACTGCATGCTAGCTTCATTCGTGTAGTTGTTAGGAAAGTTGGGTGAAACAACTGTCAGGAATTCGCCCATACCGAATACACTGATTTCAGTGTCATCTTCGTCATCTGAAAGAAAACAAGAACAGCAATTAAGGCCGTTCGGCCATTCTTGATCACAGTTTCACGTCTGAATTTCGAAAACGCTTTTGAGGACTTATTTTGTGTGGTTCTAAAGCACTTCAAAGTATCACATTCAGAACAGAACTCTACAGCCCCTTCATGTTTATTGTGGAATACAGTCATTCACCGGCATGTCAACTGCGATATGTTGAGCGCGAAGTGCCCGTATGTCCTCATATTTGTATGATGAGATGTCTGTCTGCTTGAATACCATCATATTCGGGCAGCGAGGAAGGAAATGTCCTAATTTTTATAAACTTTATTCAATGTCATATTTACTTGCTTGCTTCGCTCGCTTATGAATATTTAGAAGTTATGACATTTTATAATTTAAAAGGCAAGCGATATCATCACCAAAATAACAACTAATTGAACTTACCATCATTATCTGTAATAGACGAATCTAAAGAAAGAATAAACAGAGGCAAAATTACCAAGATGATTTCATCAAAGATGATTAGGCATTCTAAATGAATATATTTTTTAGATAGTTGTATGTACTTCATATTTTCATAGTTAATTGAATTTTGCGGTTGTTTATCAAAATGTAGTTTTTCCTATCGAAAATCATTTGGTCGAGATGTAATAATATCGTGTCTTCCTTTCAATGTAGGGAAATTGCTGATCCATTTTTACCAAATGAATGTGTAATATCAAGCGCAGAGTACTTTACCGTCAAACTCCATGGTGTCTTTAATCCAGTCTGTGAAGTGCGAAATCCTGGCATAAACGCCTGGGTAATTGGCCTGGGCACACCCTATACCCCAACTAGTGGATCCCACTAGATGCCAGCGACCATCAGCACCCTCACAAGTTAGTGGTCCTCCACTGTCACCCTGTATAGGAATATTTGATAAAAAGTAAGAAAACGTAGTACAACAACTGCAGTGGGTAAAGATGGACTCTTCGAAATTGTAAGTAGGCCCAAAAGTCTGTAATACGTCATTGGTTTTCGCAAAAGTGTTCAAGTCCAAACTTATTTTTCAATTGGTAGACGCAAAGCTAAACTCTGGCCTCAAGATTATCGAAGCCTAATGTTCAGTGGGACATTAGAATTACTAAAGATTTGGGACATCCAATAATTGATTTCGTTCATAATGAAATATGGCAATTTACCTGGCATGAATCCACTCCGCCTTCGATGTATCCAGCACACAACTCAGCTTCTTCTACAATACCGTATTGGCTGTAAAGGCCATTACAGATGTCATGGCTGATTATATTCACCAATGCTTTCTGAAGATCATTCGAAATAGAACCTGTCGAAAAAAAGTGCAGAATCGGATCACATTAATACCGGCTGGATTTTTCTTGTGTTTCACATGGTTTTGGATTTACTAAGTCAATTCAAGAATTGCAATTCTCGGTTTGTGAAATAATTATCTATCATTTGTAATTGAATTAATATGGATAAGAAATGTAAAAGCTATATGTTTTATTTGTGGAATGACTTTACCTCCAGAGAACGTAGTACCCCATCCTGCGATCCAACATCTGCTGTATGCCATCGTCTCATTTTGTATCGTAGCTAGGCAAGCTGGTCTTACGTAATCGTTGAACTCCACTGGTTCCGAAAGACGGACTAGTGCGATATCATTCGCTATGCCATTGACATCACCATAATCCGGATGCATGACGACACTGTCAGCCTCTCTTACCACCTTATGCTCATCGCCATCGGACAGATGACGAATGCCAAGGGTTATGGTGAAAGCACTAGCTTGCATCCCATCTCTGCATTTTGGGTAATAAAATATATAGGCAATGTATTACAAGATAGTTGGGATGTATGAAACATGAAATTGCTTAGGCGCAATGATGAAAAGAACAAAAATACATAGGTCATCTGGTGTTATCTTCAATTGTATTACACTTATACAAAGAAAACACCTTCCATGAATAAAATTCATGTGATTGGTAAGTAAAAAAGATGTTTAGATATCAATCCTACTCTTAACAATAACTTAAAATGAACGGAGAAATTGTTTTAGAAAAGCAACAGGAAATCTGAGAATATACTTACGCGCAGTGAGCTGCAGTCAGGACCCACTGGTTGTTTATCAAAGTACCGCCACAGAAATAGCCTCCCATCTGAACAGCAGCGATCCAAGGGAATTCCCCTAGATCAGCATTGACTCCTCCCACTATTCTAGAGTGGTAGTCATCGACAGCTGGGCGAGTACCGCATAAGGATTCCCCTGTCAGATCTGTGTTAATGAAAGACATGGGACCAAGATGCTAATTAAAGATATATCGCCAATTGATCTTACCAGGCAGAACAAATCTTGTCAATGCTGAACATTTCTGAACACATGACTATTGACTTGGAGAGGAGGAAATCTAAAGCGAGCTAGCAACTTACCGCCTTCTCCACCCATACAGTATGATTCCTCAAGATTTTCGTCATCACTCAGTTGTCTACAATCAATCGGCCAGTCTTCGTCCATCAATGCTTTGTAAGATTCTCGACAGGCATCGGTGACTTCCTCACAAAGAGCCTTGCAGGGGCGTCGAGACGGACCTCCGTGGGGGCAGTCCGCAAAAAGCATACTGCAGAAGAGGAGCAGAAAGTCTTCATGGCATTCTTCCAAAATGCTCGTTTCTTCAATCAAACTGATTGCACTATCACGGTCTTGTGCTGTTGGGTTCGGGAAGTAAGTCCGATCGTAGGATAGCACTTCTTCGCAGGTTGAGAAACGGAGATCAGTACAATGGGCTGTCAAAAGATAAAAATAACTATTTAAGAAGACAGTTGTTACTGTATCCATAAATAAACAGAAAACTCGAGATTCGAGACAAAATAGACATAGAACAAAACAGATTGTCATAGTTTCCTACATTTTGAGAATTTGAGAAGTCGATACTATAAATTGGGATTCATGTAGAAAATAACAAAACATCGAGTGAAAGAAATTTTTTGTACACACAGAATTTGACGATTAGTTAGTAGTAAGCAAATATTAATCGACTACGAGGGTAATGGTGCAAACTATCATCACCGAGGCGATGATAGTTTGTATCCATTGCCCGAGTAAAGGAGGTTAATATTTGTTTTATATCCCACATCGGCAATAAGGTCTATTTAAAGTGAATTTTACATTATTAAAACAACTGATTTTGCAGACAGTAATTTAGCTTCAGCTAGATTTTACAAAGCACAACATGCGTAGGGCCTATGTAATACAGTCGATGCGCACTCATTTGACATTGACATTGACTTTGACATTTCGCGTAACCTACTTTGCTATGCTTATTCAATGCGCAAGTCGCGCAAGTGGGGCAGCAGCAAAAAATTACTTTACAAAAAGACCTATCTCAGGTAGATAGTACTTATCTATACCTTTTTCGTGCTCTGTACAATCGCAATGCAAACAGCTATACATGAGGGATATAATTTCTGTTATATCCCTCATGTATATTTTTTTGCATTAAGATTGTACAGAGCACGAAAAAAGGAAACTTTCACTATTGATTTTGAGAGAGTGAAAACATTTACGATTTTGCGTAGTATACTAAATTCCGAAATCCACCTTTTCCATCGATCACCGATATTTCTGCGTTCGATATCTATTTTTTTTTCATTTTTTGGAGTGCAACGAACGCGCAAGCTAAATCCCCCGCCTTAAGGCCCGGTCACACAGCCCTCCACGGGCGTATCGCGGCCGAATCACGGCCAAAAATTTCTGCCCGTGAAGCAGACGCTGTTGGACGCTTTGAGGTCGCGATAAAGACGCGATACAGCCGTACTTTACCCGTCGTTACACGCGGTAAGAAATTCACACGCGGTTGGCCGCGCGAAAAAGTTTTGGGCTGCCCAAAAATTTAGACCGCGGGTAATCGCGGGCGGTACACGTGGTACACACGCGGTAAAGACGCGGTACAGACGCGGAACGAACGTGCTAGGACGTGCTACGGCCGCGGTTAAGACGTGGTTACACGCGGAATTGGACGCGAAATGTTAGCGGGTAATCGCGGGTGGAGCACAGTCATAGCACGTTTGTTCCGCGTCTGTACCGCGTTGTTATCACGTGCATTAGCGTGTGTACCGCGTGTAAGCGTGGTAGGCCGCGGTACCGCCGCGCTTCACCCGCGATAAGGACGCGGAACAGTCGCCGGCGTCTGTTCCGCGGGCATACCACGGGTAAACCGCGGGTAAGCCAATTTTGCACATTTTCCACCACGGGCAACCGCGGGCAAAAAAAAAAATCGCGAAATTTTACCCGCGATACAGACGCGAAAGGCTGTGTGACCGGGCCTTTAGTTTCTTTAGCCGGTATGACGTGCATATAGCCATCGGGAGAGTTCCGGCACGGCGTGCGCGTAGGCTAGGATCGCGCATTAAGAAAAGCAGCTGAAAAAAACTTAGTTCGACAAAATGGCTGCTTCCAGTAGTGACCGTGGTGAAATGGCTGCCGAATATCCCCGTTTTCAACTGTTAGATTGTTGAAATTTTACAAAGGAAGTGACAGCAAAAACACGAAGAAACAGATGAGGTACGGACTTTCTGTCTTTCGGGTTTTTGTAAGGAAATAAAAGCCGAATTTGATGGTGATCTTATGGATAACGAAGCCCTACACCTCCTTCTTTCGCAGTTTTACGCTGGAGCTCGTAATCAAAACGGTGACAGCAAGAAACTGATGCAGGCTTTGCGTTTTAGCCTTCAAAGGCATTTCTTTGCGTCAAGTAATGGGGACATTACTAAGGAGGATTCGTTTTTGAGAAGTGGGAAAACGTTCAAAGCTGTTGTGAAAAATCTAAAAGAAACAGGAAAAGCTGCCTTGAAACACCACCCTGCCATTCCGAAGGAAGACATGACGATGATTATGCAAAGTCTAGATTCATCCCCTGCCGATGGTCTCCAAAAAAAGGTTTTCCTTGACACCCTGCTGTATTTTGCTAACAGAGGTATGGAGAATTTGAGGAACATGACGCCAGGAGATTTTGTCCGCCATGAAGCTGACAAAAAAGACGGTGAGTACTGTACACTCCGTAATATGCATACCAAAAATCATGCAGATGATGATAATGAGAGCCAGGCAGGACAGATGTGTTCCTTGCCTGGAAATCCACTTTGCCCTGTAACCAGCCTCAAAATGTATCTGTCCAAACTGAATACTGACTGTAAATGGATGTGGCAGAGGCCGAAATCAAAAGCAAAAGTAACTGATGTTTCGTGATATATGCAAATGCACCGCTTGGAACGAATACATTGGGCTCAATGTTGAAGAAAATCTGCCAAGAAGCAGGCTGCAAAATCTACACAAATCATTCCCTACGAGCTACTAGCACCTCACTCAGTGGCGTACCTGGGGTACTCCGTCAGGGGGGGGGGGGGGGGGGGGCAAGCGACCGAAACAAACAAAAAAGGCGATGCTAATTTTCACTTCTGGCGAGCGAGCGAGCAAAAAAAATCTTTAAGTAACGTTTGGTATATAGACTGGTATTGTTGCAAGTTGGGGGTTGGAACATTCACTTGTTAGCGACGTTAATTTCATTTTTTTGCAAACGAGCGTAGCGAGCAAGAAAAAAAACACTTCTTTTTTAATAATTGCCACTTAAACTTGGTTCAATTGTCCCATGCAGGGCGCGGGAACAATACTGTGTTTAGGGTGATTTCATACCCATTTTAGCTAGCGAGCCAAAATACATCTTTCTCTCAATGAATTGCTATATAAAATTTGTTTCATTGTTGCAGGTTGGGGGCGGGCACAATCGTGTTTAAAGGGAAAGTCCACCCCCGAAATAAGTTTGTTTCGATAGAGGCAGAATAATAAGAAAATCAGGTGAGTGAAAGTTTGAGCAAATTCTGAATGAAAATAAGAAAGTTATGAATTATTGAAGTTGTGATCAATCAAATACAAATTGGCAACTCTGTGACTTATCATACGAGCTCTCCTTCATTTGCTTTGTGCATAATATTCCATAAAATCATGTTTTCTTCGTTATTGATGACGGAATATATATTTGTTCCTTGCAGGGGGAGTATAGAAACATATTTGCAATGATTATATTTAGGGTGCATGTATGGTTGAAATTTTTCTTGAGGGAAAATGAAAATTTTAGATTTTTTTGGTACTGAGCAAATGGAAGTTGAGCTCGCATGATACGTCATAGAGTTGCCAATTTGTGTTTGGTTGATCACAACTTCAAAAATTCATAACTTTCTTATTTTCATTCAGAATTTGCTCAAACTTTCACTCACTTGATTTTCTTATTATTCTGCCTCTATCGAAACAAACTTATTTTGGGGGTGGACTTTCCCTTTAAGGCAATGTCAATCCCATTTTGGCGGGCAGGCAACCCCCTACATTTCTCTTTTTAATGATATTGTAGCAGGTTAGTGGTAGGCACATAATTCCTCGAGCTAGCGATAAAAATCACTTCTTTTTTAAAAATCACTTCTTTTTTATAGGGAAAATATGGTACATAAAACTTGGGTTCATTGTTCCATGTCAGGGACGTGATTATTAAAAGCGGTTTTATTTCTATTTTGGCGAGCGAGCGTAGCGAGCGAGCAAAAAAAAATCACTTCTCTTTTATAGGGAAAATATGGTACATAAACTTGGGTTCATTGTTCCATGTCAGGGACGTGATTATTAAAAGCGGTGTTATTTCTATTTTGGCGTGGGCAAGCAAAATTTTTTTTAATGATAATTGGTTCATAAATTTCAGATTTTTGTTGTTGCAGGGCAGGGCTTACACAATCATGTCTAAGGTGATGTTAATTCCGTTTTGGCGAGCACGAGCAGACCAAAACTTCTTTGAATAACGTTTGGTACAAAATTATTAACTGGTTGTTGCAGGTTGGGGCGGGCACGTTAGCGGTGTCAATTCCATTTTGGCGAGCGAGCATAGCGAGCAAGCAAAACAAAAATTCTCTTTTAATATAAATTATTAAATAAACTAGTTTTTATTGGTGCAGGTCAGGGTGGACGTAATCGCGTTTAACGCGATTCAATTCCTTTTTGGCGAGAGGGCGAAAAAACTCTTCCATTTTTAATGATATTGTTGCAGGTCAAGGGTAGGCACAATTGTTTCCAAAGCAAAATCTACTCATTTTATTCGCGAGCAAGTGTAGCGAGCGAAATAAATGAATTACTCTCTTTTAGTAACATTTGGTACATACACTGTGTGTTATTGTTGCCATGGTTGCAGGTCGGGGCCCGTCGGGGCAGGCACAATTGTATTCTAGGCAATGCTAATCCTTTTCTTTTTTCAGGGGGACGAGCAAGTGAAAACATTTAATACAAAATAGGCTAGCAAGCAGTTCACGCCAGGGAAGAGTTTCGAATTTGTTATATCACTTATATTTTCCTATTTTCATTTGTCTTAATTTTTCAGGGCCATATGCGGAATATTTTTCTGGTGGGGGAGGGGGAAAGATGCGTTAAAAGTTTTCGAAGAATCTCAAAAGCAAAAGGAGTGAAGGGAGTTCGAGCGACCGAACTGGTCATGAGGGTACTTTTGCATTTTCAAAAGTAGAATTGAAGGATTTGGTATGGGCCTACACTTCATTTTCAGGAACTGCCCCCCCCCCCCCGGTGCGTACGGCCATGGTTTTTTTTTTTTTTTTTAATTTCCCCATTTTTTTCCTTTCCTTTTCTTTTCCCTTTTTCTTCCTTTTCTCTTCTCCTTCCTTTTTTCTTTCCTTTTCCTTTTTTTCCTTTTTTATCTTTCTTTCCTTTTTTTCTTCCCTTTTTTTTCTTTTTCTTTCCTTTCCTTTCTTTTCTTTTCTTTCCACTTTTTCTTTTTTTCCCCTGGAGCCCGTCAGGGGGGGGGGGGGCACTCTGCCCCCTGCCCCCCCCCCCCCCATAGGTACGCCAGTGATCTCACTTCTGGACGAGGCAGGATATCCATCCCGAAACATAATGACGGTGTCTGGCCAAAGAGCTAAAAGTTCTATTAAGAACTACGCACGCACAAGTGAAGCCAAGAAAAAGGTGATGTCAGAAACATTGTCAGAAATCCACCCCACAAACCCGAAGACCAGTAGCAGTGCAAATATTGAAGGACAACTATCTACATCTAAGATTACTGTCACTGAGGACATGCATGCTGAGCCTGAGAATGAAAACATGCCACCATTAACTAATAGTCAGCTGGAGCGGGTTTTCGATCAAATACCACAACGGTCACTACTGGGAGCACCAATACCAGAGCCTCCTAAACGATAAACGTCATTAAAGATCGACGGCCAGAATATCATTTTCATGGCTGTACGGTCAATATTTTCAACAGGTAAAACAAGGAAAAGCCATCCATGTAATTACGTTTGTGGTTTTGCTTTGACTTTAAGACTTTATATTGAATTGTTCGACGCTGTTTATACTTGGAAGTTCTGGCATTTAAAAACTTGTTTTTGTGAAATTCACTTGACTTGGATGAATTTTGATTTATCTGGAAACTAAAGAGAAGGAATTTTAATCTGGTAAGTCATTCACCTTTTTTCCCTATTTATTTAATTTAGGCCTATGCTGCTGAATGCTCACAGTATATGTTTCTTTGTAATAGTGAGATGCTAATGTCTCATGAGGGATATAAAACAGATATACAATGTCTTTCTCGGATCTAGCAAAAACTATGAGCTAATGAAGAGGCATAAATAGTAACTTTCACGAGAGCAAATTTGATATAAATTTGCTTCAAGGAAAAGTTACTATAGTTATGGCTCTGAATGCTGAAAGGTATTCTCCCTACTCTTTACGTCATGTAAACTTACGACATAAATCTTCGTCAGAGAAGTCCGAACAATCATTTTCTCCGTCGCATACGTCATCAGATTCCAGACAGGTACCATCACCGCACATGAAGTCACATTCATCAGTGGAATTATCTGCATAGAATGGCAAACATCATTATTACCAATAGTAAAACCATCTTGGTTGACAAAGAGTTTTCTTGAGTGGTCAAATACATAGAAAGTACTTCATTGTTATGTAATTTAAAAAGCAAATCCTGTGGGTGTGCATAACTATATTTTTTTCCTTTTAATTATCTCTGTTTAATGGCAAATAAATCATATCTTTGAAATGGAATAAAGCATATTTGAGGTATTTTTTGGAGTCGGGAAACAATATCTGACCATAATTATACTAATCATAATTATACATGTATTTCTAATACATTTTCCGCCAGTAAATGTGGCAATAAAAAAGTGACACATACAATTTTATGCAGTTTTTTCAACATTTGAATGGAGAAAAGCATATGGACAGAACACATACCGGTCTCAAACACCTTGATTTCAATCCAAAAGCCTGTTCTTCTTTCAGAATGGTCAGATGTAAATATCAACCACATATGATTGTTAGTAGAAATTACGTCATTAGGCAACGAGTAACCGGTAAGATTCCCCAACTCCGATGACTGTACCCGCGGATCTAAACCGGAACCGACTTTAAGGAAGTCATAGTCCGATTCAAGATCAAACGCGTGAAACTTTGCCACAATCCGGTATTTCTCTGGTCCAGAAACAAGCCATTTCATGTTTGCGTCGTTGGGATAATTATCCGGATAGTTAGGTGAAACAATGGTCAAAGATTCACCGTAAGTAAACATGCTGACCTCGGTGCCATTGAACAGATCTGAAACGAGATTTGCGATATCATGACCGTGAGTAATGCAGGTACTTGATTTATCTAACAACTGTAAGACACATTGAAATAATCAACATTTATGTAACGGTGCTTCCTCGTCATCCCAGCTATTACGCAAGATTTTATTAAAACCGATAAGGAATTCGGTTATGAATTATTTCACTTAAACAAAAAATTATAGTTGGCTTGGCTTGGTTCAATGTGTATTTGTAACGTTCAACTTTTGCAGCCTAATACAAATTTTGTACAAAGTCTGCCATATTTGTTTTAAACCTTGAGTTACATTTTTGGCCCTGTTATAGTGATACTTAAATAATCGCTTAAGTGATGAAGATATAGTTATTTATTACCAGTTATATTTTCCTGCCTGAAGACCATGATCTCAATCCAGAATCCATCTCTTCTGACGGAGTCGTCGGAAGTAAAGTTCAGCCACATCTCATTGTTGATGGAAACCACTTCGTCTGGAAGAGAAGAACCTGCCAACTGCACCAACTGTGAGGTCAGATCACCCGCGTTGGGACCAGAACCAATTCGCAGGTAGTCATAGCCGGACTCAAGATCAAAGGTGTGAAACTTGGCCACAGCCCGATAGTCTTCTGGTCCTGAAACGAGCCACTGAACATTGGCATGGTTCGGATATTTGTCAGGGTAGTTTGGTGATACGATGGTCAAAGATTCACTGAGTCCAAAGAAACTGACCTCGTTGGTAGGGGCGTCATCTGAAAAGCAAATGTTGGCATGGCTTTGTTAATATAACAAAAAGTGGGAATCACACTTTAAGAATGAAATATAGAGTTTTAAAACCCCGACATGCATAGAAAGAGGTATTTGTTTCACAATGACAACTAGACTCTGACAATAAAAGGAAGAGGTGACAAGTGAAAGAAGTGAATTTCTTGAACTCACTTTGCTCAAAATCTCACTGAAAAACAAAATGTGTGACATCAGACACAAACGGAATCTGCGGGTAAAACGGCCGCAGCCCCTTCACCCCACACCAACACGCATTAGAAAAATCCACCATTAGCAACAACCCTTTCTCATTGTAAAACAATTCTTATTCTTAAACATCCCTCGGCCCCTTCAAGAGCATAACAAGTGCGGACATGATTCCCGAAATTGTTGTCTTGAATCTACCCCTTGGGTAAAAAACAACAACAACAGTTGATATGTATTACCTGTCATGTTAACAACTGAGATCTGTATTGAAAATCCTTGTCTTGTCACTGAGTTGTCTGAGGCAAAATTCAACCACATTTCATTGCTGATGGAAACCACATCCTCAGGAAGATTAGAACCCGATAGCGTCACGAGTACCGAAGTTTGATCGCTTGAATCAAGACCCGAACCGATTGATAAGAAGTCATAGCCGGATTCCAGCTCAAATGAGTGAAACGTGGCCCCTATCTGAGAGTCTGGTGGTCCAGAGACAAGCCACTGCATGCTAGCTTCATTCGTGTAGTTGTTAGGAAAGTTGGGTGAAACAACTGTCAGGAATTCGCCCATACCGAATACACTGATTTCAGTGTCATCTTCGTCATCTGAAAGAAAACAAGAACAGCAATTAAGGCCGTTCGGCCATTCTTGATCACAGTTTCACGTCTGAATTTCGAAAACGCTTTTGAGGACTTATTTTGTGTGGTTCTAAAGCACTTCAAAGTATCACATTCAGAACAGAACTCTACAGCCCCTTCATGTTTATTGTGGAATACAGTCATTCACCGGCATGTCAACTGCGATATGTTGAGCGCGAAGTGCCCGTATGTCCTCATATTTGTATGATGAGATGTCTGTCTGCTTGAATACCATCATATTCGGGCAGCGAGGAAGGAAATGTCCTAATTTTTATAAACTTTATTCAATGTCATATTTACTTGCTTGCTTCGCTCGCTTATGAATATTTAGAAGTTATGACATTTTATAATTTAAAAGGCAAGCGATATCATCACCAAAATAACAACTAATTGAACTTACCATCATTATCTGTAATAGACGAATCTAAAGAAAGAATAAACAGAGGCAAAATTACCAAGATGATTTCATCAAAGATGATTAGGCATTCTAAATGAATATATTTTTTAAATAGTTGTATGTACTTCATATTTTCATAGTTAATTGAATTTTGCGGTTGTTTATCAAAATGTAGTTTTTCCTATCGAAAATCATTTGGTCGAGATGTAATAATATCGTGTCTTCATTTAAGTGTAGGGAAATTGCTGATCCATTTTTACCAAATGAATGTGTAATATCAAGCGCAGAGTACTTTACCGTCAAACTCCATGGTGTCTTTAATCCAGTCTGTGAAGTGCGAAATCCTGGCATAAACGCCTGGGTAATTGGCCTGGGCACACCCTATACCCCAACTAGTGGATCCCACTAGATGCCAGCGACCATCAGCACCCTCACAAGTTAGTGGTCCTCCACTGTCACCCTGTATAGGAATATTTGATAAAAAGTAAGAAAACGTAGTACAACAACTGCAGTGGGTAAAGATGGACTCTTCGAAATTGTAAGTAGGCCCAAAAGTCTGTAATACATCAATAGTTTCCGTCTTTCGGATGGTGACGTTAAAGACCGGTCCCCAGTCGTAAATATTCATATGTGATTGATACACGTTAGTTAAAACCCAAAGACACTTACACACACACACACATACGCAAAAGTGATAACGTCTAAAATAAATGTTTCATTGGTAGACTCAAAGCTAAACTCTGGCATAAAAACTATCGAAGCGTAATAAACAATGGGACATTAGCATTACTAAAGATTTGGGAAATCCGATTATTGATTTCGTTTATAATGAAATATGGCTATTTACCTGACATGAATCCACTCCGCCTTCGATGTATCCAGCACACAACTCTGCTTCTTCCACAATACCGTATTGACTGTAAAGACCACTACAGATGTCATGGCTGATTATATTCACCAATGCTTTCTGGAGATCATTCGAAATAGAACCTGTAGAAAACAAGAGCAGAATCGGATCACATTAATACCGGCTGGATTTTTCTCACATGGTTTTGGCTTTACTTAGTTGATAAAAGAACTGCGATTGTCGGTTTGGGAAATAATTATCAATCATTGAAATTCTAATCAGGTTGTAATTGGATTGAGGTGGATAGGAAATGTTATAGGCGATTGTTTTCGATTTGTGAAATGATTTTACCTCCAGAAAACGTAGTACCCCATCCTGCTATCCAACATCTGCTGTATGCCATCGTCTCATTTTGTATCGTAGCTAGGCAAGCTGGTCTCACGTAATCATTGAATTCCACTGGTTCCGAAAGATGGACTAGTGCGATATCATTCGCTATGCCATTGATATCACCGTAATCCGGATGCATGACGACGCTGTCAGCCTCTCTTACCACCTTATGCTCTTGGCTATGCGACAGATGACGAATGCCAAGGGTTATGGTGAAATCACTAGCTTCCATGCCATCTCTTAACAACGAGTAATGTTTAAAAGAGAGAGAGAGAGAGAGAGGGGGGAAAAAACAAAATACATATATTTATGGTAGTGTTAAGACTATTGCACGAAAAAAATTCGGGTTATTTAAATAACGGGAATAAAAAAAAGGTTACAGCGCGACTTAACAAAATCAGACCTAGGAGTCTCATCTACAACATTTCAGTTACTCGGCGGATGACGAATATGACAAGTAAATTTAACTGATATATGAATATGTAAGTATATATACATACATTTTATCGTATCCGGACACCTGGCCCTGGACATCCACCCAACCTTTACGACGACTGCCCCCGGGACAACTACCCCCGGACAACTATCCCCTAGGAAAACTTACCCCCGAACAATTATCCCCTTACGACAGCCATCCTCTAGGACAACTACCCCCGACAACTATCCTAGGGGGTACTTGTCCCGGGGGTAGTCGTCGTAGAGGGCGGTTGCCGAGGGGGTAGTTGTCCTAGGGGGTAGGTGACTGGGGGAGGTTATCCGGGGGGAGGGTGGGTGGGTGGATGTACAAGGGGTAGGTGTCGTAGAACCACAATTTATGTATCGAAATGTATAGAAATTGAAAAAAGATTAAGTAATGCATTATTTCCAATATATAAAACTTAATTGTCCGAATTTTCAAAACGCAACTCGCTTATTCGTCATGGAGGTATGTGTTTATATATATATAACACTTTAATAAGATACGTATTCTTATAATAATTTATAATCTGACCGTAGATTAAAGAATGAACGTCAAAATATCATTTTTCTAGCTCCTAAAATGTATTACAATGTAAAAATCACTTACGCGCAGTGAGCTGCAGTCAGAACCCATTGGTTGTTTATCAAAGTACCGCCACAGAAATAGCCTCCCATCTCAACAGCAGCGATCCAAGGGAATTCCCCTAGATCAGCATTGACTCCTCCCACTATTCTAGAGTGGTAGTCATCGACAGCCGGGCGAGTACCGCATATATAGTCCCCTGTGAGATCTGTAGAAATAAGAGACATGGTAAAAAGTTGGTTATCCAATTAATTTCGTCAATTAACCTTACCCGGGGGTGTTTCATAAAGCTGTTCGTAAAGTTTAATACGCATGACTTTTAATACGAATGACTTATATATGAAAAGCCAAATGGGATGCTCAATCATTTTTAACTGCATCAAATAAAGTTGAACTGTGCAGATGTAGATTAACACTCTTATTATAACAATCGTAACAGCTTAGACGAACGTTGCGGGACACCCCCGGACTGACAAGCTGATATTGATGGGAGACTTCAATGCCCGGGTAGGACGAGACTATGAGAAATGGCAGTCGGTGTTAGGCAGGCACGGAATCGGTAAATGCAACACCAATGGTGAGCTACTTCTAGCGCTGTGCTCTGAGTTCGAACTCCTACTGACAAACACCGTGTTCAAGCAGAGGGAAGAACACAAAACCACCTGGATGCACCCTCGCTCTAAGCATTGGCACCTGATTGATTACATCATAACAAGACAACGAGACAGAATGGATGTTCACAGCACAAGAACTATGCGTGGAGCTAACTGCTTGACCGATCACCAGCTACTAAGATCAAAGATTGCATTTGCTTTACGTTCAAAGCGTAGGAAGCAAGGAGCTACTAAACTTGCAAAGCTGAACACAGACCGGCTACACGTCAACACACAACGGCTAAAGCTAGAGCAAGATATGGAGAAAGCTCTGGCGACTTGGGGAGTGCAAGAGGGAATGACAGTTGATCAGACCTGGGCATCACTCAGCAAAGTAGTATATGACACAGCGAGCAACACCCTCGGTAAACCAGAGCGAAAACACCAGGACTGGTTTGACCCAGAAGACTCCAAGCTTCTGATACTCATGAAGAAAAGGAATGAAACACACCAACGTGTATTGCAGACTAGAAGCACCAGGTCAACCACCACCGCGTACAAGGAAGCCTGCAGACACTTGCAGAGGTACACACGGAAAATGAAAACCACCTGGTGGGAGAAAAAGGCAGAGGACCTGCAGCGCTCCGCAGACAATAATGACATGAAGTCCTTCTACACTGGACTGAAAGAAGTCTGGGGCCCCCCAGACTAGGAGTACAGTTCATCTCAAGTCCCTGGACGGTAACACAACCTTTTCAGACAACAAAAGGGTGCTTGAACGATGGTCGCAGCATTTTGAGACACTACTCAACCAGCCAGGAGATATCGAGCCTGCAGCGCGTGATAGGATCAACCAGCGACCTGTAGTTACTGCACTCGATGATATTCCAACACGAAAAGAGCTAAACCTGGCAATTGCCTCCTTGGGTGATGGAAAGGCACCCGGAGTGGATGGGATACCAAGCGAGATATGGAAGCACGGAGGAGCCACACTAACCAACAGTTTACTAATGCTGATACAACAAGCATGGGCAGAAGGCTCCGTACCTCAGGAATGGAAGGATGCTAATATTGTCGCCATCTTCAAAAAAGGAGATAGAACTCAATGTGGAAACTACAGAGGAATATCGCTATTGTCAATAGCAGGGAAAGTTTTTGCCAGGATCCTTCTGAACAGATTGAATGCCCACATAGCACCAGATATATTGCCGGAGACGCAATGCGGATTTAGGAACAACCGCAGCACAGTAGATATGATCTTCTGCCTCAGACAACTACAGGAGAAGTGCATTGAGCACAACCGATCCCTCTATGTGGTTTTTGTCGATTTCACAAAAGCCTTTGACACTGTTGGTAGGACAGGTCTTTGGGAACTACTACGAAAGTATGGATGTCCCGAGAAGTTCACCGGAATGGTAGAGTCCTTACATACGGGTATGATGGCTAAAGTCAAGGAAGCAGGCGAAACATCCCATAGCTTCCCTGTAAGTAACGGTGTCAAACAAGGATGTGTGTTGGCCCCTACGCTGTTCTCCATCTTTCTCTCGGCGATGCTGGAGGAGGCCTTTGCGGACTTTGAGGAAGGCGTTTACATACAATCACGTCAAGACGCCGACCTATTCAATGTCGCACACTTCAAAGCTAAGACGAAGTCTACACAGATTCTCGTGAGGGAACTCCTCTTTGCAGATGACAGTGCTCTTGTTTCTCATACACCAGAGCAGATGCAACATGTTATAGATGTATTTTCATCAGCATCAAAGAAGTTCGGTCTACAAATAAACATCAAAAAGACTGAAGTACTATTCCAACCAGGTACTGACCACCGAGAGGAGGAGGAGATCCTAGTGGATGGGACAGCCCTAAACCAGGTAGATGAGTTCACTTACCTCGGCAGCACTATATCCAAAGACGGACGCATCGACTCTGAGCTGGTGAAAAGAATGTCAAAGGCCAGCAGTGCCTTTGGAAGACTGCGAACCAGGCTATGGAACAACCATCATGTCTCAACAAGAGTGAAGTGCAAAATCTACAGGGCTATCGTCCTATCCACTCTCTTATACGGTGCGGAAAGCTGGACTTTCTACACAAGTCAAGTAAAGAAACTTCACGCGTTCATGATGAGACACCTTCGAGCAATCATGAGAATCAGTTGGAAGGACAAGGTGACCAACAAAGAGGTACTAGAGCGAGCAAACCTTCCTTCTATGGAGGACCTGCTCATCAGGAAGAACCTACGATGGACAGGCCATGTCATCAGGATGCCCTCTGAGAGGTTACTAAAGAAAGTACTATTCTCGCAACTACCCGCTGGCGAAAGAGGGATTGGTCGTCCACGGCTTCGCTACAAGGACACGATCAAGAGGAACCTTAAGCGGAGGCAAATTGAAACCAAAACTTGGACAACTGCTGCAGGCCAGCGAGCTGTATGGAGAACAGCTGTAAAGTGAAAATGAAGGCGGTCATTGTCGCTTCGCGACAGACAGCTACTACTACTATAACAATCATTATTAATACCAAGTATATTTTTTGGCACAATTTAATGGAGGTTATTGGAAAAATAGTCACACTTTGTGAAAAACATTAGGACAAACTTTGGGCATCCTATTTGGCACTTCATATTCAAGTCGTTCGTAAAGTCATGCGTATTTTTACGAACAGCTTCATGAAACACCCCCAGGCAGGAAAAATCTTCCCGAAAATGAACATTTCTAAATACGTGACTATCACCCAGAAAGGAGCCAACAACTTACCGCCTTCTCCACCCATACAGTAAGACTCCTCATGATTTTCGTCATCACTCAGTTGTCTACAATCAATCGGCCAGTCTTTGTCCATCAATGCTTTGTAAGATTCTCGACAGGCATCGGTGACTTCCTCACAAAGAGCCTTGCAGGGGCGTCGAGACGGACCTCCGTGGGGGCAGTCCGCAAAAAGCATATTGCAGAAGAGGAGCAGAAAGTCTGAATGGCATTCTTCCAAAATGCTCGTTTCTTCAATCAAACTGATTGCACTATCACGGTCTTGTGCTGTTGGGTTTGGGAAGTAAGTCCGATCGTAGGATAGCATTTCTTCACACGTTGAGAAACGGAGATCGGTACATTGGGCTGTCAAAGGATAAAAATAATTATTTAAGAAGATATTTGCTGATGTATCCATAAAAGAGCAGAAAACTCTACGGGTATACTAATTGGAGACATAATAGATATAGAACAAAAGAGAATGTCATACTTCCATTCCATTTTAAATTTCAAAAGTCGATACTATAAGTTGGGATTCATGTAGAAAATAACAAAACATCGAGTGAAAGAGAATTTTGACACACATAACTTGACGATTCTTTAGTTTCTGCTATTCTCCCGACACTGTACGTCCGGTTAACTTACGACATAAATCTTCGTCAGAGAAGTCCGAGCAATCATTTTCTCCGTTGCATACGTCAGCAGATTCCAGACAGGTACCATCACCGCACATGAAGTCACATTCATCAGTAGAATTATCTGAATAGAATTACAAATATCATTATCACCAATAAAAAACAATCTTGGGTAGACAAAGAGGTCGTTTGAGTGGTCATATACATAGAATGTACTTGTTATTATAGCTAATTTACAAAGCAAATCCTGATGAAATTATGTTTATTAATATATAATTTTTAAATTGTATTTTTTAAACAGCAAATATATCTTATCTTTGAATTGGAATAAACCATATGTAACTTTAATGGTATTCCGTTATGTCAGGAACAGTATCTAATCATAATTAAATATGTAATTCTGATACATTTTCCGCACGTAAATGTGGCCATAGTAAAGTGAGAAATACATTTGTATGCAGTGTTCTTTACATCCGGATGTAGAAAAGCAAATGGACAGACTACATACCGGTTTCAAGCACCTTGATTTCAATCCAAAAACCAGTCCTTCTTTCAGAGGAGTCAGATGTGAAGATCAACCACATATTATTGTTAGTAGAAATAACATCATCAGGCAACGAGTAACCGGCCAGATTCACCAACTCCGATGACTGAGCCTGGAAATCTAAGCCGGAACCGATTCTAAGGAAGTCATAGCCCGATTCAAGATCAAATGCGTGAAAGTTTGCCACAATCCGATATTTAGCTGGTCCCGAAACGAGCCATTTCATGTTTGCGTCGTTGGGATAAATATCCGGATAGTTAGGTGAAACAATGGACAAAGATTCACCGTAAGTAAACACGCTGACCTCTGTGCCATTGACCAGATCTGAAACGAGAATTGCGATTTCATGACCGTGAATAATGCCGTACACAATACAGTGAATCCGCCAAATGCCTTTTTGGTACCCTCTCTTCAAATTGTTTTTAATCATCCATGCGTAACATATGTATCATATGAGTTGCATCAAATGAAAGAGGAGAATCTAAGCTTGACAAATATGTGTCATTTATTAATTGTAATTGTGATTAAATTATGATGAATCGTCGATAATTCTCGGTAACATATTTTTGGAGACGCACTGTATATATATATTCAACAACTGTAATACACCATCAAAGTCATAATTTATGTAACGGTGCCTCCTTGACATCGTAGTTACGCCCGGAAATATGCAAGATGTTATTAAAACCGATAAGGGATTTGAATACGATTTTATTCACCTAAACAAAATATTATAGTTTGGCTTTTTCTATGTTTTTTTTTGTTACGCTAAATTTTTAAATTTTGTACAAAGTCTGCAATATTTTTATCCAACCATCAATAAAATTATTGTCCTATTAAGTGATACTTAAATGATTGTCGTGCTATAATACATATTTTAATAAATCGTTAAAAGTGATGAAGATATAGTTATATATTACCAGTTATATTTTCTTGCTTGAAGACCATGATCTCAATCCAGAATCCATCTCTTGAGACGGAGTAGTCGGAAGTAAAGTTCAGCCACATCTCATTGTTGATGGAAACCACTTCGTCTGGAAGAGAATAACCTGACAACTGCACCAACTGTGAGGTCAGGTCACCCGCGTTAAGACCAGAACCAATTCGCAGGTAATCATAGCCGGACTCAAGATCAAACGTGTGAAACTTGGCCACAGCCCGGTAGTCTTCTGGTCCTGAAACGAGCCACTGGACACTCGCATGGTTCGGATAGTTGTCTGGGTAGTTTGGTGATATTATGGTCAAAGCTTCACCGAGTCCGAAGAAACTGACCTCGTTGGTAGGGACATCATCTGAAAGGAAAATGTGTACATGGCTATGTTAATATCTATAGAAAGGTATCAACCTTTTAGAATGAAATATAGATTTTTAATACGCAAAATGGCGTGTTTTCATGTCCCATCAATTTTAAATAGGTGAAAATAGTAAAAGAGTTTAAGAAAACAAACTGACATGCATTTAGGAAGTATTCGGTTCACATTTACAACTCGACTCTGAAAATGAAAGGAAGAAGTGATACTTGAATGAAGTTGATTCCGTCAATCGACTTTGTTCAAAATCTAAATGCGAAAACGGAAAAATGTGACAGTTACTAATGGAATCCGAGGATAAACTTGTCACACACACCCGCCCCACAGACACACATTTGAAAAACCCAAGCATTAGCAACAAGCCTTTCTTATTGTAGAACAATTCTAAATCCTGAACACTCCTCTGCCTCTTCTAGAGTCTGACGAGGGCGAACATGATCCCCGTAATTGTTATCCTAAATCTGCCGCTGGGTTTTCAAAAAACAGTTGATAAAATTACCTGTAATGTTAAAAGCTGAGATCTGTACTGAAAATCCTTGTTTTGTCACTGAGTTGTCTGAAGTAAAAGTAAGCCACATCTCATTGCTGATGGAAACCACATCCTCAGGAAGATTAGAACCTGAGAGTGTCACGAGTAGCGAAGTTTGGTCGCTCGAATCAAAACCCCAACCGATTGATAAGAAGTCATAGTCGGATTCCAGCTCAAATGAGTGAAAATTGGCCACTATCCGAGAGTCTTCTGGACCAGAAACAAGCCATTCCATCTTTGCGTTATTGGCATAGTTGCTAGGGAAGTTGGGCGAAACGATCATCACAGATTCGCCAAGGCCAAACTCGTTTACTTCAACGTCATCGTCATCATCTGAAATTAAATAATAAAGGGATAACGACGATGGCATCTAAATTGACCAATGACCGATTCTAATGGGGTAAGAGAGTTCCTACAATATTAAAAAAACATTTTAAGCTTAAGCTCGATCTTGGTATGAACACAATGACTATAAAATATGACAATCAATTTACTTCATCTGAGACATATAATACAAAACAAATTTATATTGTTACCATCTTTTCCCATGGTATCCCGAATCCAGCCTGAGTACTGTGAGATTCTGGCGTAAACTCCTGGGTAATTAGGTCGAGCACACCCTATACCCCAACTAGTAGATCCTACTAGATGCCAGCGACCATCAGCGCCCTCACAAGTAAGCGGTCCTCCACTGTCACCCTGAGATTAAAATAGAAATCGGCAATAACACATTGGTCACAATAAATTATCAATTAATCACAAAATTGGGACGATGATTTGGTACTGAACATGATCAAATAGCACAAAACAACGTCATTTAATAAGAGAACCAAAAGTTAAGGATTTGAAAACGTACAATTTTATAGATGTTAGTTGTGTTGCTGATATCTTTCTAAGATATTGCACATGCATAAAATAGTTTCGTTATGATACCATAATATTTTACCTGACATGAATCAACTCCGCCTTCGATGTATCCAGCACAAATCTCTGCTTCTTCTACAATGTTGTACTCACTGTAGAGATGATGACATGTGTCGTGGTCTATAAGATGGACCAAAGCTTTCTGGAGATCGTTCGACAGGGAACCTGCCAAGATTTTTGAAAGGGAGATACAATGTCGGATTGTATTAGCTCTTGACAATCGAACAGCTATCAAGAGGCTTTTCCGATTTATTGACAACTATTTTAAAATATACAAAAACGGATTCCATCCATAGAGGTGGAATTATGTAAAGCAGGTAAATCAAATAGATGGCAACCAATTACTTGAGAGAGAAACATGTATACATTGAAAAAAAGAAAACAGCCAGGTCTGCGTGAGTGAAAATAATAACTATACCTCCAGAGAACAAAGTTCCCCATCCTGCGATCCAACATCGGCTGTATGCCATCGTCTCATTTTGTAGAGTAGCCAAACAAGCTGGTCTTACGTAATCGTTGAAGTCGACTGGTTCCGAAAGACGGAGAAGTGCGATATCATTTGCTATGCCATTGACATCACCGTAATTTGGATGCACGATCACTCGGTCAACCGCCAGCTCCACTTTAGACTCAGGATGTTCGAGCAAATGACGAATGCCCAGAGTAATGGTGAAATCACTTGGCTCCATTCCATCTCCACTCCCTTCCCCTCCATCTCTAAATACCATTGTCATTAGGGTTTTTGAAAAGAAAGGAATGGGAAATGATGACCACGCTGGTATTTCAAAATGACAATTCTCGTGTAATGGAGAAAATTAATGAAACTTTATTATGTTTCTTACACCATGTAACTGCTGTAATTGGTTTGCAAAAAGATAGATGTCTACTTTGTGGAAATCCCTGTCACATTTACAGTATGTTTAGACCTATACAATGATTGTACACCAGCAAACATTTATAATAACTTTGCATTTAGAAAAAAAAGTTGGATTTCTGTCTTGTCAGGTGACTCATATTAAACTGATATTATCACTTTTCTAAGCTTCACATATGCACACATACACCCACATGCACGCCCACACATGTCAGAGAATACACACTCATTGATGTTGGTACTATTAAACAAATAAAGTATTAATTTGTTACAAAAAATGAATCCATATTGAATCACATGTTTTCTCTCGCTTCAAGCTATTGATGATAATCACAAATCTCGTATAAACTTACGCGCAGTGAGCTGCAGTCAGGACCCATCGGTTGTTTATCAAAGTACCGCCACAGAAATAGCCTCCCATTTCAACAGCAGCGATCCAAGGGAATTCCCCTAGATCAGCCTTAACTCCTCCAACTATTCTAGAGTGGTAGTCATCAACAGCTGGACGAGTGCCGCATATGGATTCATCTGTTAAATCTGTAGGAATTGAAGGCATGGTATATATATATATATATACTATTTACAGATATGATATCGTCATAGTAGGCGTATTAAAGGGACTTGGTAACGTTGTTCGGATGAACGAAAAGTCACTACCTTAGCACCTTCAATGTTATATGTACAATGAAAGATAATCAGATAGTTTGAGTAAAAACAGACTAAAAATTGAGAAAAACTGATCTGATCGATTCCTTGATTATCCTTACTATATTATTACAATTTGATTACATTTTAGGTGAATGTTAATCGTCACAAAGCTATGAGTTGACTCTTTATACCATTCCATATATTTAAGTGTTGAAAGACTTTTAAAAGCCTGTCTTATGTCTTATTGTCATGGTTGGGAAGAATCAAAAATGGTTAGAATTTACTGTTACAGGGTGTTGACCAGTGACGCCATCAAAGAAAACAATAAATGTCTTTGTGGTTTGATAATTGTTTCAGGACTCGTTGCATGCTAGAGCGTTAGTACAGTAGAAGGAATATAATAAGTAACATTTCATACGAACATTATGTATTTTTTTTTTATCAACCTTCAACAATGTTACTGAGTCACTTTAAATTGAAATCCAAACTTGATAGCAAAGTTCTCTAGAGGAAAGCAGAAAACTCAGAGAAGCAGAGACTAGTGAAACTTTGAATGGGATCGGACAAAAGATGAGATAGTCATGAATTTGTGAAAGATGTAATCACTGGTATGTTTACATTTGCTGAATCGGTAATGTATTAGTGATGAAGTGGCGTACATCTTTCCCGTTTGTTCTAACACACAAAATGACTAGAATGTCATCTATTTAAAACTATTTGATTAAGGAGGGTCTTTTCTTTTTTGAAGACATTTAATTAAATGCTATCCATGATATATTTTGAGAAGTGCCCTTTGGGGGAAGGCGCTAATGGGAAAAACAGAAATGAATTATATTTTTTAAAACGACAATCCACAGATTTGTCTACCAATTTGAAATTCGCATGGACATAGTGATCTCATATTTCAAACATTCTTAACTTCCTCATTATTGATTTAAGATTATTTTAAAACGTTCTTTTTAACCTTTTTTTCCTTCTTCATATACAAATAAACTTATTACAAAAAAGTTGTAATCAATCCGTTTCATTACTGGAAATCAAAATCATGAAAATCGTTTGCGAGAAATCGAAGACTAGGTCACATCACATCCACTGTAAGAATCCATCATGAAGTCTCAAAGATGACCTTATTTACCAAAGGGAATCCGTTTTTAATAAAAAGTAGTTTTGTTATCATGAGACATGAAAACACCATATCTGTACAGTAAGGTAAAACACTTCGCAAGGAAAGAAATCCGTTTTAATAGGGGAAACCCACCGCCCTCTCCACCAATGCAGTAGCTCTGATCAATATTTCCGTCATCACTCAATTGCCTGCAATCAATCGGCCAGTCTTCGTTAATCAATTCTTTGTAAGATCCTCGACAGGCATCGGTGACTTCCTCACAAAGAGCCTTGCAGGGGCGTCGAGACGGACCTCCGTGGGGGCAGTCCGCAAAAAGCATACTGCAGAAGAGAAGCAGGAAATTTTCATGGCATTCTTCCAAAATGCTTGTTTCTTCAATCAAACTGATTGCACTATCACGGTCTACGGCTGTTGGGTTCGGGAAGTAAGTCCGATCGTAGGATAGAACTTCCTCGCAGGTTGAGAAACGGAAATCAGTACATTGTGCTGCGCAAAAATAAGAAAACAATATGACAAAAATGATTCATAAACATTCTTCTACACGACAATACAAACTACAATGTACTTTAAGACACACGTGTTTAAAGGAATTTTCATTTAGAAAAAAAACATGTACAAAAGGACAGTGACAATTTCACCCCCCCCCCCTCATGGACCCTTTGGGCCGTATTGTACCAAATTAATTCAAATAAACCCGAACACGGGTCGAAGATCAGATTTACCAACGGAAAACTTAGACTTCTGACAAACTTCTTTTTATCGAACCCCTTTGTAATAGCCCAGCCTCAGGTTTAAAGATAAATTTGAGTTCTGGTCATGCGATTGCATTGGCAAAGAAACGGTGTGTAATCGATCAGAATAGGTTGATCATATGGTATACAAGTATTGGTGTGTACTGCAAGGTTCTGGAATCATAAAAATAATAAGAAATTCGGCCCAGTCATGGTAAAGTTCCATATGTTCACATACATATGTACATGGGACTACACGAACATGTGGCATAAAAATCCGTCCCTATTGTTATATTTTTACATGCAATATTCAGAATATTTAAGCATTTGAAGAGCCATGCTTTTCAGGGAACATTTTTTATTTGATGTTCTTCTACATTTGCATAATACCAATGATAACGCTCATAAATTATAGTTCGACTCTTCCCAGAACTCAATCTTCTCTTTAAATGTAGAATACATTGGACTTTATCCTTCACTTACGGCATACATCTTCATCTGAGAAGTCCATGCAATCATGTGCTCCATTGCAAACGTCAACAGACTGTATACATGTTGTACCATCACCGCACATGAAGTCACATTCGTTGGTGGAATTATCTGAAACAAAAACAAATCAAATATCGAAATTGCTCTTAATAGAATCATGTTATAGCTTTCGAAAGAATGTCAAATAAACTTATTTTCATGTTTGATTCGGGGATTTAGAATGTCAAAACACTTCATTATCCATAATCAATCAGGGAGGTTTTCAAAGGTATTCAAAAAAGCTTTGGATCAAATTAATCAAAATCACTTTTCATGAGTTTTTTTATCAATCCTTTGTGAAATACAATCCACACATACCTCTTTCAAACACCTTGATTTCGACCCAAAATCCTGTCCTTCCCACTGAATGATCGGAGACGAAGTCGAGCCACAATTCATTGTTAAGAGAAATGACGTCATCAGGCAATAAGTAACCCGACAGTTTCACTAACTGCGATGATACAACCTCGGGATCCAAACCAGAACCGATTGTAAGGGTGTCATAGCCGGATTCCAGATCAAAAGCTTGAAAGCTTGCCAAAATCTGGAAGCCATCTGGTCCTGAAACCACCCACTGCATGTTTGCATCGTTGGGATAGTTATCCGGATAGCGAGGGGAAACGATCGTTAGAGATTCGCCATAACCAAACATGCTGACTTCGCTGCCGTTGACCACATCTGAAAAATAATTCACAATTCCATAATGTTTAATTAGCCTACAGACTTTTCCAAGCAAAAATATCTACACGAATATTAGATCAGAAATTAAGGTTCCAGTAAACCATAAGCCGCCCAAGGATACAATCAGGGAGAAATTCATGATAGAACGCAAGAGAAAGGCAGAATATAGCGAAAGAAAGCAGAGGAAAAGTATGACCTATAGGGCAATCTACGTGTATGCAGATGTCGCCAAAATAACTCGCTGCAAATAGTTCTTGTTTTAGACCGAAAATGCCTTCAAAGTGCATGGTTAATGCTCTTATTTTTATTTATGACATTTCTAGTGCTCTTTTATGACCTGACATTGCTATGAAGATAATTTTGGACCCCAAAATGTGTGAAATTTAGCTAATATGATCATACCAATTCAGCTCCACTTTCAAAAAAATATGGTGACCGTTAATTGATTAATTAATTAATATTAACAATACACGGGCCGGCTGGTTGTGCGTATGATAGCCAACAAGCCAGCATCGGCACTAGCTGAAATAGAACGTATAAGGCGCTATTTCATTTTTTCAATGGCTGGTTCAAATTTTCGAATATTTGTGGTGGTACACAAATATTATAAATGATTATTTTTATGGACATTTCAGCCGTCTCTGAACCGATTTTGATCAAACAAAGATGATTTTGGCATTTGAAATGGCGATGGCGCATAATAAATGCTGTATTATTAAATGCATTTTCTTTAAAATTTGATAATCAGTTTTTCATTATCTCATACACACACAAAAAAAACACCTTGTGTAGCGCCCTCTGCAACAGAACTCAACTATCCCTTTAAGAAGAAAAAAAGTTTCGCACTGCCATGCAGCTACTGGTTATCTCATTTATCAGCGTTTCAGGAAATGTGTGAAGTTTAAATCACCTTCCGGCTCGAAAACCGTGATCTCGATCCAAAACCCATTCCTGTTTACAGAGGAGTCGGACGAAAAGTTCAGCCACATCTCATTGTTGATGGAAACCACTTCGTCTGGAAGAGAAGAACCTGACAAATGCCCCAACTGTGAGGTCAGGTCACTCGCGTTAAGACCAGAACCAATTCGCAGGAAGTCATAGCCGGACTCAAGATCAAACGTGTGAAATTTGGCCACAGCCCGGTAGTCTTCTGGTCCTGAAACGAGCCACTGAACGTTGGCATGGTTCGGATAATTGTCTGGGTAGTTTGGTGAGACGACGGTCAAAGATTCACCATGCCCGAACACACTAACTTCGTTAGTTGGAACTTCGTCTGAAATGAAAATGTGTAAATGGCACAATAACAATGTGTGATTATAAACATCACAATGGTTTAGATACATAGTAACATAGTCCACTTACGCTTTTACACACGTTTACAGATATGGAGAGTGAAATGAAAGCAACCGATTTCAGAGATATTTTGTTTTAAAGAAAACTGTTATATCGGCATAGACATGCTTTGTTGGTTACATTCTTTGCCCCTTTTAGGAATTACAAAATTATCAGAGCAAGTCTAATCGTGAGAAAAAAGTCCAGCATGTCATTCATCCAAACGAGATTGAAAAGGAAAAGAGACTGAAGACATTTACATTACACCCATACATATACATACACAGTTCACATATAAAGTAAGTCTTTACTTTACTGAAAGGAATAGATACTTTACCTGTAGTGTTAGGCATTTCAAAGACCATTATCTCTATCCAAAATCCTTTCCTTGTCACCGAGTAATCTGAAGTGTAATTCAGCCACATTTCATTGTTGGTGGAAACAACGTCCTCTGGAAGTACAGAACCCGTAAGCGTTACCAAATGCGATGCATGGTCACTCGAGTTCAGACCAGAGCCAATTGTCAAGAAATCATAGCCGGATTCCAGCTCAAATGAATGAAAAATGGCAACTATCTGCGAATCTTCTGGTCCAGAAATCAGCCATTCCATTCTCGCATGATTCATGTAGTCGTCTGGATAATTGGATGAAACAATCGTCACCGATTCACCAGCACCAAAAGCACTACTAGTAACTTCAAAGTCGTCTTCATTATCTGGAACGAAACAGAGGGATTACAGGACTTAAAACGTAACCAAATGCAGTAATTAAATCTTCATAGACATAGATCACAGATGAATTATATTACAAGCATGCATGACTAGTACCTAATAAGAAAGAAAGTATAATTACTCTGCATGGCAACCATTCGAAATAATTAATCAAGTTTCGCGTGAGCTGTTTTGCGACTGTAAGTTTGCAACTATAGGAATGTATATTTTCGTACATTGTTCATTTTGCTCACTCAAATAACGAATTTAAAAAAAGAGAATATGAATTTTCATGTCTGACATTGGTATATCAAATTACAAAGTATGGTTAATTGATGACATTATTCCCCTTCGACTACATTTTAGACTGAAGTCCAACGAATGGGAACGCATCTTGTACTTCTGAAAGTAAGAGTAAGTGTCGTGGTATGGTAGTTCATACATTTGACTCTCAATCTAAGGGTTACGGGCTCGAATCCCAGTCAGGCACTAACGTCATTTGGCAAGACACTAATCAGAATTTGCCCCTCTCCACCCGGGTGAAAATAACTACCTGACCAATGCTAGTGTAACTATAATTGCAGGGCCCCGGCCCCAAGAAGAGCAGCCTTAATGCTGGTGTGGAAAACCTCTTTTAATAAGGTCCAGCTATGTTATCATTATTTATTAATTAATGGTTCCATGCGAAATCTTAAATTTTAAATTACTCAAGAATAGCACTTCTTTGTATTAATCTTTGAATGTTTTGAAGGTCCAGTCTTCTTACATAGGTGGAAGACAAATCAAATGTTATCTAATGTGAGAAACACGATCAATGTATTTCGAAACAATGTGAATGAAAGCACGTATGGTTTACCAACATATCCCATGGTATCCTCAATCCAGCGAGTATATTGTGAAATCCTTGCGTAAACGCCTGGGTAACGGGGCTCGGCGCAGCCCACACCCCAACTAGTAGATCCTACAAGATGCCAGCGACCATCAGCACCCTCACAAGTTAGTGGTCCTCCGCTGTCACCCTAAGTTGCAAGAGTTATTTCAAATTTGTGTATTAAAGGTAATAGGTTCATTAAAACAAATCATCCATATCATATTCCTTGATTTTTCGAAGGATATCATTAAAAAGAAACAATCTACGGAATATCTAAGTAATGAGTATTCCTAGAGTTACCATTGTTAAAATGATAAGTAACTTGTGAATATATGATAAAAAATGCTAACCAATGAATCACGGTGGCACATGATCGTATACGTCACGACATCTATACCTTCATGAAAACTGTATTTTTTAAAGTAAAAATTTACCTGACATGAATCTACTCCGCCACGAATATAACCGGCACAAATCTCTGCTTCTTCTATGATATTGTAGTCAGTGTACATTTGGTCACATACGTCGTGATCGATAAGATGAACGAATGCCTTCTGAAGATCATTTGATAGATAACCTGTTAAAGCACAGACAAAACAAATGAAAGCATCAAAGGTGGCGAAAATGAATGAGACAGAATGTGAGGGCAGAGAAAGGTGCTTGAAAAACACACCCCGGTGACGATTGCTTCTCAGTCGAAAGCTCACACTAGCTGAATTCTTTTATTCAATTATGTACTAAAAACCTAACCCTTAACCTACTCCAAACTCAAGTTTAAATCTAAAGTGCACCCAAAACTACCATTTTTGAGCGAAATAAAGTACATCAGAATGCGTTCTCGTATGCACCAGCAATGGCATAGTCCCATTTTGAAAAAAATAACAAGAAGTGGCAGTTCTAGTAGAATATACAAGATTCCATTAAATAAAATAATGAGAAATTGTAAATCATGTACTTTAAACTTTAAACATACCTCCGGAAAACAAGGATCCCCATCCTGCGATCCAACATCGGCTGTATGCCATAGTCTCATTTTGTAGAGTAGCCAAGCAAGCTGGTCTTACGTAATCGTTGAATTCGACTGGTTCCGAAAGACGGAGCAGTGCGATATCGTTCGCTATGCCATTGGCTTCACCGTAATTTGGATGCACGATCACTCGGTCAACCCCCAACTCCACTTTAGACTCAGGATGTTCGAGCAGATGACGAATGCCAAGAGTTATGGTGAAATCACTTGGCTCCATTCCATCTCCACTACCTTCCCCTCCATCTCTATATGTCAACGTCGGTTTGGATTTGGAAAAGAAAAAAATAAGTTCAGAATATCAGTAGAGACGGCTGGTTGGTTAGTGAAGGTGTAAATGAATATGTTTATAAAACATGTGTAAATGTCAACGTTCTGTAATTCTGTGTTCATTAAACAACTGTAAGAAATGACAGGTCATTATTTTTCTCGTTTGCATTTATTGTAAGGATGTTGTGAGGAGAGTAGCTAACCTCCGGGAGAACTGACTTTATGATAATATAACCACGGTTTGATGTATTGCTTTGCGGTAAGTGCACGATATTTTGCTAACAATTTGCTATTCACTTTACCGCTTTAGGCAAAGAGTCCCTGTGTATCGCATTGTGTTTAAGCAAAATATCAGAAGATGTATATAAAAAAGCAAAACTGAACTCACTAAGCCACAATATATATTACAGCAATATGCAAATGTCACACATCTTATGATAACAGTGCATTGTTGTGCATCTGGCATGCATGCACATATCATCGTCATCTGATCGAATTATCACAACAAAGAATTGTTAACCGTTAAATTTGACTTTCCTTTTAATAGCCGCACTCCACTCGATTTTTAGCTTTATATTCTGAGTTTTAAGTTTATTACAATTTTTGATTTCCAAGTACCGTTATCCAGCAAATTTGAAAGTGATTGAGAAACTGACATAATGGGAATCCGAATTGTGTTTAATTGTTATCAATGCCATTGATACGGCACCGAAACGTGGGACATACTGTACACCATTATTATTACCATTACTAGATGTCAAAGTCCTTTCCTATGGACAGTCATCGTCAATCAGAGAAATACTTACGCGCAGTGAGCTGCAGTCAGGACCCATTGGTTGTTTATCAAAGTACCGCCGCAGAAATAGCCTCCCATCTGAACAGCAGCGATCCAAGGGAATTCCCCTAGATCAGCATTGACTCCTCCCACTATTCTAGAGTGGTAGTCATCGACAGCTGGGCGAGTACCGCATATGGAGTTACCCGTAAGATCTGTAGAAATGGAAGACATAGGATAATATGATGCGTATTTTAATATAAAAAAGTTTGTCGCCAAATTAATCTTGACAGCGAGGTTATATTTTTTAGAAGCATCCATGTATGCTGAACATTAATGACAAGTATTTTTTGTACTTTAAAAGAGGGCAGGAATATACTTTCACGGGCTGACAACTTACCGCCCTCTCCTCCAATACAGTAGGATTCCTCCAAATTGCCCTCATTACTCAGATGTCTACAATCAATTGGCCATTTAGCGTCCACCAATGCTAAGTATGATTCTCGACAGGCATCGGTGACTTCCTCACAAAGAGCCTTGCAGGGGCGTCGAGACGGACCTCCGTGGGGGCAGTCCGCAAAAAGCATACCGCAGAAGAGAAGCAGAAAGTCTTCATGACATTCTTCCAAAATGCTTGTATTTTCTATTAAACTGATTGCACTATCGCGGTCTTGGGCTGTTGGGTTCGGGAAGTAAGTCCGGTTGTAGGATAGCACTTCTTCACAGGTTGAAAAACGGAGATCAGTACATTGGGCTGTCAAATGTAGCAACAAAAAAACAAACATTGAATTCGAACATAGTATATAAAGAAACAGTTGATAGAGGCTATACAAACTAAAGTCTTGATATAAAAAAATGAAAACAAAGCAACGAAAACAAACCCCGCCCCCCACACTCAGTGTTATTTAGGGGACGCATATGCATGTTCCCTCCCTAGGAACCCCCCCCCCACTAAGTCCGGTATGTTAAGTCGATACGGGTCGGATTTTTGTGTATTACGAGCCGGACTTTGTTGCGTGATAAGTACCCATTTACGGGACATTTTGGGAACATGAATGCGATCCCCCCGACCCCAGAACAGAACAGGGGGCCGCGAAACAAATTCAAAGAAAAAAAAAACAGCTCAAAACTTTAGACGGTTTGAGAATGGAGAGGCAATTGAAATTGTTTAACTTTAACTGGTTAACCGCTGTTCTATCTTTTTAAAAATAAACACTTACGACACAGATCTTCGTCAGAGAAGTCCGAGCAATCATTCTCTCCATTGCATACGTCATCGGAATCAAGACAGATTCCATCACCGCACGTGAAGTTACATGCTCCAGTATCTGAAACAATTGATTGATTGTTATTGGTAGTGGAAAGTGGACAATATCACTGGAGAGTCGATGGAAAATATAAAATTACTCTTCTTTCAACTATGGAATATTTAATGTTCTCTGTTTCTTTATCGTATTTCTAATATCAAATAAAATGTATTGTTTGTATATATTCCAAATCGAATACTAAGGGCAAGCTCCAACAATAACAAAAGAAGAAACATAGATATCAACCTTTCGATAAGAAGGGATTCGATATTAAACATGGAAAGAAATAGCAAATCCATCCATATTTGAAGAAAGAAGATGAACAAATATATCTTAAAAGCATGGTGGTCATCGATAATTTGTTGAAAAAAAGTGATTACCTGTGTCGTTCTCTCCAAAGACCGTGATCTCAATCCAAAACCCTTCTCCCATGACAGAATAGTCAGAAGTAAAGTTTAGCCACATCCCGTTATTGATGGAAACTACGTCATCAGGAAGAGCAGAACCAGTAAGTTGCATCAACTGTGATGGTCGGTCGGACGCATCCAGACCCGAACCGATTGTCAAGAAGTCATAGCCGGATTCAAGATTGAATGTATGGAACTTGGCCACAATCTGGTATTCTTCTGGTCCAGAAACGAGCCATTGAACGCTTTCATGGTTTGAATAGTTGTCTGGGTAGTTTGGTGATACGATGGTCAAAGATTCACCATGCCCGAACACACTAACTTCGTTAGTTGGAACTTCGTCTGAAATGAAAATGTGTAAATGGCACAATAACAATGTGTGATTATAAACATCACAATGGAGCTCTTCTGAAAGAGAAGGTGAGCAATAAATGCAAATGATAATGACCTACATTTTGTTTCTGTTTCTGAAAGTTTCTTGCGCTATCAAAAAGGAATTTGTTTCGCAGGAGTTCTATAGATTGGACTGAAGGAATACGCATCTTCAAATATATGCTGGGGTAAAATTTATCATAACCAACGATAAGTAGAACCCAATAACTTTAAACAAATATCAGCAATACCTTGAAAAAACAAACGTTTTCAACAAAATAATAGTTATGATAGCCATGGAATTAATGTCTTTGAATCCATTCTATGAGGCAATAGGACAAAATGACATGTTGTAAATAAACTAAAAACTGTTTGGTTCATACCATATATCGTGGTAGTTTCATTCTCGTCGACTGCTGCCATAGCGTCTGTGGTCGTTTGACCACCTGGGGTCGAGCCATCTGTTGATGCAACGGATGATGTCTCAGTTTCAGTAGTCGGTGCGTCCGTTGATGTCGGTACGGTGGTTGGTGTGGTGGAGGTTGGTAATTCGGTGGTCGGCAACGTGGTAGTTGGTGTAGGGGTTGTTGTTGTTGTAGGTTCAGGAGTTGGGGTGCTAGCCGGTGGTGCTACGGTTACTATTTCAGCATCAACCGACACTGGATGAAAGGAACAGACGGATAAATATTTGAAAACAAAGGTGAAAATTAAGGCATGTAAATGAGGTATAACTTGCAAATTTCTGGAAATATCTAGTACGGTATAACGGCTTTAATATTGAGCAGATGACATATATTTAGAAGAAAATAAATCAAAATCAAGTTATCAAGAAACTTTCCCAATTTCACCCTGTTCACTAAAAAAAACCACAGAAATATTTAAAAATACCCAGAAACTCATTCCATATATGTTCCAAATGGCTTATTTGAATTGAATGTATATTCATTATCACTAACAGTATATTATTCACTCTTATTCTTTACTTATTTTCTGTTATATGTTACTATGTATTGATGTTTTCGATGATGTTTATATTGTTCAAGTAGTTTGTATCTTCATATATGTTGCATTTGTTTATAGGGCCCCCTGGAAAACAGTACTGTGTTTACTGACGGGGATACCCTGTTTAAATAAAACGGAATAAAATAAATAAATAAAACAAAACCATGCATCTTTCCTGAACTCATTAGAGTTTTCAAATGTGGGGGGGGGGGGGGGGGGTGTGACATTTAGGTTTAAGATACGGTGTGATGTTAGGTCCATGTTTGAAATTAGTCATAATTAGAGCAATTGTCACTGGAACAGGTGCCATACGACAAATACCTTCCGTAACAATTGCAGAACCTTCAGATACTCCAATCGCTACCAGGATACTTGTCGAATTATCTGACGTAGCACCTTCCAATACCGTAGTCACAATTTGAAGAGCTGTAGTTTCAATCTACAAATAGAATTAAACAAACAAATAAATCAGACCAATGAAGGAGGCACATTCTAGCATTTCACTCTTAACAAGGCAGCTCGGGATTAAGATAGGTCTAGGGATATAAGAACCTCGAAGCTACAATAATAACCTTTTATTGAGTCAGTGCAAAGTGATAAAACTCTCGATTTGTATACAAGTATGACCATTTTTGTACTACAGTTTGTAATAAGAAACGATTAGACGAGTTTTTAGTCAATTTTGATAAATTGTAAGCACTTAATAATTGGTTGAATAAGATGAATGTAAGCACAGTTCAGTCAAATGTTCAACTGAAAATATATAACATTCTAATCATAACGTTTTTTTTAATAATATGATGTATCCGGAAAGGAGAGTATAGAGGAGGTGTTAGTCAAAACGAATGGTTTCTAAACTTTCTCCAAATGTTAAAAAGGAATTCGATTTAAGGAAAGAGGGGAAATCATCAAGGTTGTTAAAATTACAAAATCACATGTTGAGGCAAGCAGACTCTTATGTTTATAGGATATGACTACAAGTTGATTCAATTGATTTCTTGGGCCAAGTAGAACTGATGTCAATCATACAACAAATAAATTCGAAATATCAAGTTCTATGTCATTAATGTTAGATGCAAAAGACTTTGAAAAACAATAACTTTGAATAAGATCACATTAAAATCTGCGGCTTAAGTTTTAAAGAGTAATGGCGTTTATTCCCCCCCAATATTCGTACGTACCCAAACGCACACATACACACGCACACCCCCCCACACACACACACGCACATACACATCCTCCCTCACTCACAGTTAATACCATTGTAAGAGCAAGATTTTTTGATTAACTATGAAATTGTTCTTAAATTTAAACATTTACACATGTGACTCGAACGATCAGGTTCGTAGGCGTATTCTGAAAAATTAAAAACCCAGCCTTGCCTAATATCAAACGAAAAATCATATATAAAATCAATAGATTTAGAACAGGGAAACCGATCGAGAACAATTCATGATCAGACACACACATCAATAGCTCTATAGGCTTAAGCTCGAGTATCAACGACAGTTATATTCGTCTTGTTTTTGTTTTCTTCTTCAGTCTACCAGAACTGCTTCGCGAAGAAACCTTGTTAGTAATAAGCTCTCTTACTAGCGTCGTGTTGCTATGCACTTATTTACTCTGCGCAGGGATTTCACCGCTACATAAAAGATCGCACCCTTTCTCCCTTCCCCGGCGTCCCTGGCAACAGGAAATAGTACCAAAGAGGATTTAAACACGATTGACTTAAAAGGTTTCTTTACTTTACAGAAGATATTAGCGGGTGATGTTTGCATAAACAGTGTACATCGTGGTTACGCTTTCTTTTCATTTGAGCGAGTAGAATCCCGTAGAATCGAGGTTGAAACTGCACTAATGCATTTACCTTTGTTCTGTAATCAACGTAGGTTTACGTCACATATAACTGTCTTTTCATCTATGTGACATATAAATCAACCTTTTGCGAGTCACGCGCATGAAATGTTATCTCGGACTTGAGAAAGGTCTGTTAGTTCGATCTATGGACCTAGCTACATGTAACTTACTAGTACGGGGTTGTACTTTTTCCTTTGAGTTATAAATAGCCCAATTCAGCAATAAATATAGGACAATGTTTTCTTCAGAATGTATCCTAAACCTTTATAATTATACAAATCGCTCAAGTGAGACAAGAAAAACGGTCTTTTCAGACTGCGTTGTATATATGTGGTATTTGTATCCCAGGGAATTAAATAAAAAATCAGTGATTTTGTTATGTTTAGTCAGATTTGACTGTAGTGTGTTTCGTTTATGTAGGCCTATGCTTGATTGAATACAAGGCCGCAAAAAACTATTTAGAAATATCTTTGAAACCAATTTGATGAAGAAAAAAAACACACACCTGGCTCAAATGTGCATTACAATTTATGTACAGTGTATTCGTTTACCGATCACTGTGACTCAACTCCGATTTTGCACTTAAAATATATACATATGTTATTGAAACGCAACTCACAAACTATTCATGATTTAAACATTTCTTTCGATTGCAATAAAAATAAACAAGAACAAAATATTCGGTATTTAGGATTTGAAATTTATGAAAACCTATCAAATCTGGAATATTCATGTAAAGAAGCTCAGTAAATCGTTAGCTGATAAAATATTTTCTTTGAAGGCCAGTTATTTCACTGATACGAATGTGTTGAATAAATTGTATACATGTACAATCCAACCTATATCAGGTCACGCATGTTCGATATGGGGGAGTTGTTCTGTTTATAACAAGAACATTTTCCTTAGATTACAAAAAAGAGCAGCAAGAATAGTTGAGAGAACCTTTGATCCTAATGAAAGTGGTATTGATATTTTCAAAAGATTGAAATGGCATGTTTTATAAGAAAGACTTAACTGTTTTCTTGTTTGTATGTTGTATAATTGTATCCATGGCTACGCTCCATCACGTTTGTACAATGCTATTGACATGGTATTTGATTGGCATCCAATGAATACGAGACCTTCCAAAGCCTATCATTGATATTTTCAAGAATAGTCTACGTTATTCAGGCGGCAAAGTATGGAATAACTCCCCATTTAATCTACATAATGCCAAATCCATCGACTGTTTAAAAAACATGTCTAAGAAAACTTATTCTGTTAATAATGAATATTATCATCGTTGTTTCTGCTCTTTCTGCGTTAAGTTTAGTTTGATACTTCATGATATAATGTTATGTTGTAGTGTGACAGAAATAGATTTTAAATAGATTAGTTGATTATTGGATTCCATTATTGTGATTTTATATATTTAAGTATATATCATGTAATTTCTACTTGGTTTCAAGAATGTGATCGCTAAATACCTTTATCAACACTTCATGAGTATTTATTTATTCTGACTATATATATATGTATGATTAATTTATTTTGATGTTTTAGTGTAAGCTTTAATATTCAGGACCAGGATGTATACCAGTCTTCTCTGATTTTGGTATCCTGATGAAATATGTTCAAATAAATAAATAATAAATAAATAATGCAAATTCTCATCCCTCTTGAGAGCATTGCCGGCCTGGCGGCCATTTCGAAATTTATTTCTTTATTATGTAAATGTTATAATTACCAGATACCCTTTTCACAAATGTAAGGACAGAAACAATGGAGGTCGATAAAAATGTCTTGTTTATAAAAGAAACATGTACTTTAATGCAGCTTATTATGTTATCAATTTTGCAAATGATTCATTATTCTCATCTTAATACTACATTGTTGCCCATAAAGATGGAATATTGTTTTCTTACCTCTTTTCAGGAAATGAATGTGACTATATGGTTTAAAAAAAAGTATACATCTTCTCAGAACTTTATTGATCAACATCGATGACTCTTTAGATTGATGAATAATGTTCTTAAGAGATAAACTAGATCTATCAGGACTGAAATATATTCATACAATAAATTCTTAAAAAGAGGTAAGAAACTGTTATTCCAGCTTTAGGGGCAACAGTCTATGTCAATCAAATGAATGACTGAATAAATAAGCAAGTAAGTAATGAATAAATATATAAGTAATGCATGAATTCTGTAGAATAGATTGATAACGATACCTGTGCTATGAAGGCAATATAAGAATCTGTTTCCTCGACAGCGCTGCCCGAGCTCGTTTGAGTGTCTTCAACTATATAGTCTGAGATATCTAGGAGTATCACGTAGAAGTTGACGATAATACTGCCCGCACTGAGAGGTATAAACGAAAATAAATCATAATCATTATAGGCGAAAGTACCGCTGTAAAAGAAACGGAAACAAATGTAGAACGTACCATATTAGCTGAATATTATTTAAACAAAAATAAACATTCAAAGACTTCTTTGAAAGGGTTAAACTCTTTGTACAGACCTCAGTAGTTCTCTAAAGGAATTTTATCAAATTAGGGGTATAAACAGACGTGGTGACCATAACAGAGATGTATTCAATTCAATCATTCAATTTAATTCAATTCTATTTCATTCAGTTAAAAAGACAACATTTTATATAACAATTAGATATATAACATAAAATACACATTAAGAACATATGAGACAAGGACATAAAACGAACTGAATAGGTTGCATCCTGAAATGAAACATAATCCTCACTTAAAGGTTGACCTTTTTTTAATAAAACAAAATGAAATATATTCGTTACTAAACAGTATACAATACACAAACCAAGACAGCAAACATACATACAAACAAACAAACATATAAAACATGTCTTGAATTCGAATGATTATTGCAATTTATCCAAAAGAAATTTGTTATACCTATGTTTAAATACATTTACGCTAGGAGAATTATGAATATAATGTGATAGAGTGTCCCATAGTAACGGTCCTTGGAAAATAATAATATTTTGGTTTAGTACTGTACGAGTCAATGGCAATTTTTTTAAATAGCATTTCTAGTATTATAACTACGAATATTACAGTTTGATATAAGCAATGTGGAAATGGAATCAGGAATAAGATTGTGATGACATACACACATAAGAACACCTACTTGTAATACATATACACCCTTATCTGTATTGCAATATGTTTAATAAGTAAAATATTGGATTGGTATGGGCAAGAAAAGAATAATGATTAATAATTCTTATTGCACGTTTTTGTAATTTAAACAATCTATCTTGATAAATTAAAGCAGAATTGCCCCAGACAATAATGGCATATGTAAGTAAGGGTACACAATTGCATAGTATTAGTATATAATTTTGATAAAATTTTTAGAGAGCGATTTCAATCTGAACATGACACCAATACTTTTAGGTAATTTGTTGCAGATGACACTAATATCATTAGACCAAGAGAGTATCGTCAATAATAACACCCAAGGACTTTGATGAAAAAAAGGGAGAAAAACAGGACAACAAAGGAGGTAAATAGTCAGGTGAAATTCTGAACCAAATTGGACAATTTCATGCTTTGTTTGGGCAGTGAGAGGGCTCTTCTCGTTCACTTCCCCCTCTCCCATTTTCCCTTTCTCCCTCTCTCCCTCTCTCTCTCTTCCCTTCGTCAATTGATGGGAATACGTACCCCATCCCCCATCCCGTATATACGCCACTGAGTACAATATAGCACGTGGAAATTGTACGTACCTAAAACCAGTTACAACCGTCCCGTTGTAGACATCGGAGTATTCTCCACTCATAAAAGTTAGATCCATCTGTAAAAATATGAGGGTTAAACTGAGGGTGAAGAAGATGATGTGACTAACATTTTACATACGATTTACGGCACAATTTGATACCATGCTTTGATTTGCCAAAAATTGTATTAATTTTTGTTGTGTGAAAAAGTTATGTTCCTTAAGTTATATCCCAGTGTTGGGTTACGTATCACCACTCTTAGTGTTGAAATGACATGAAAATTACAAATAAAAAAATCCAAAGCTGAAATTTTTGCACAAAAATAATTGTATTTACATTCCTTTACAATTTTTTTGAAAAGGCTTCATAGATCGTTCAATCTTGAGTGATTGTAAGAATATATTTGTTTGGACACTCTATACTGCCAATGACTTACATAACAGCTCTTATCAGTTGGTTAGCTCGGGTGACCATAGTTACATGCAAGTATTATCTACGTAATACTTCTTCGTTTACACTTGTTATCCATAATGCTAAAGGGTCAGTGACTCCAACTTTTTTGACGTCTTTTCTAATTGTTATCAAACTCAGTTACAATATTTTTGAATTATATTCGAGAACCTATATTATACAAGTTTTGCTTCTTAATAGGTTCCCTTATTTCACATCATTATTTATCTGTGTTACATGTCTATCATTGTTTTATTATGTATTCTCTTGTTAAATCTTAAGTATGAGACTATCTTGATTTGGGAAGGTGGAAAAAACAACTATAAAAACCCAAACCCAACTATTTTTGACCACCAGACTACTGAATCATAATCATTGTACAATCTCTGCCTTTTATTCCAATCATTTAAGTTCATCATAGTTAGCATTCTCATTATTAATTTCAATCAGTATCATGCCAAACGTACTATTTACTTTACATTACAACCGATTCAATGTGCTTTTCTATATTGTCTGTATCCGACATAACATTATGTTTTTTCCGTGTAAATGTGGAACATATAAACTTTATTTTAAAAAAATCGAACTTTAACAACTTACAGTAGAGGTAAAATTGGTTTCTAGTTCGATATAGTCCACTGATGATGAGTCGTTGAAAGCTTCCGTGAAGACTTTGTCACCAAATGACAATGAACCTGAGACGTTGATGCTCGCTAAAATAAAAGGATTTGATTTCAATATAAAAAAGATGTTACTATATTAATTAGAAAGTTTCGAAATGAGGTATGAATAATAATAATGATGATGATGATGATAATAATAATAATAATAACGATAACAATAATAATAATAGTAACATTGATAATAATAATGATTATAACAATTATAACAACAATACAAATAATGACAATAACAATGATGATACTAATAATAACAATAACAACAATAATAATACCAGTGGTAATAATTACAAAAACAATAATAATAACGATGATGATAGTAGTAGTAGTAATGGTAATAACGATGGTAATAATAACAAAAGAAATAATATTAGTTATTATTATTATAATGATAATAATAAAAAAAATAGTGGGATCTTGTATAACGCTCGAGTCTATCCGACTTGATATTTCTGGTAGCCCCCCAACAAAACAAAAACCTAAGGAGGGTCTTGCGTAGGAAGTGATTAGTCCATGATTATGTCACTGGGGATTGATGGTTAGACTATTGTGATTAAAGACCTTTATCAAAAGTAGCGATGTGCGTATTATAAACGACGACATTCCACTAAACGTATCCCAGTATAAGAATATAATCACACGCGTTGTTCCTACATGTATCATAATTTTTCGATCAACAAATATTTTATGAAGGGATCATGCGAATTCTAATGAATATCCCACACAGTTTTTTTTCTTCACATTTTCAGATGGTAACTAACTGGATGCGAAGAACCTCAAAAAAATAATCAATGTTAATCACTTACACACCACCACCTCTTCAATAAAAACCGGATCGGTCGGTGAGACAGTAGCCGCTGAAAGAAACAAAAAATATTTAAGTTAAAACAAAAAATATAGGGTGCTATCAATTTTGTAACGATAAGATGCGGAAGATGTTTTGAATATAACAAATTGTATCAAGAACTGATTGCACAACGTATTTCCATGCACATAATAAGATGCATACAAACAGATTTTTACCCAATTATCTACTTTTATTAGTGATTATCATGGACAAATTGTTTGAAGTGTTATCATTACTTAGGGAAATAACATTTGACACTTACTTTCTTCTCCGCTGTTGAGCACTATAGAAAGAAAATTGAATAGAAAAACAGAAGAAAATCAAGAAAGACATGCATTAAAATGTGTAAGTTCTGACATCTGATATCAAAATATGAGATAAAAGTTTTCATCATAAGGAAACAATATACCATCAAGTTAAAAAATCTACCACTTAGTATTACTTTAAATGTATCTGTATGATAGCGGACAGAAGAGCCATAAACCAACATTGCACTTTGAATTTAAATAAATAATAATAATAATAATGATATTCCGCTTTTATAAAGCGCTTAATACAAATGTTTATAAGCGCTTTTACAGATATACTGAAAGGGTTATTTTAAATTATTGAATAATGGCTAAAGACGTAGTCGGGGCTTAATGTACAGAGCCGAATTCAGGACCTGATATTATAAAGATTTATCATTGTTTCAAATCGATCTCAACACTAACGAGATTTAAAAGTTTGCGATCGTTTTAATATAGGACTCTCGATCACTCTGGATCTATCGAAAGTCGTTCTAAACCGAGGCCCCGGCGTAAGTACACGAACTGGCCTAAGCACGGAATTAAGGATTCAAATTGTCTACGTTAGTTATATGATTTTGTTACTGATATCAAGAATCTTTAATCTATAATGTTTTGTATCCGTCTTAGGAAGCGTGTTAGCCAGTTGGTAAATTGCCTGCCACTCGAACCAAAGATCGTGGGTTCGAATCCAAACCAGGCGGTTCATTGACTGAAGCCTGTGTTGTTCGTTAATGTGCCCCTTCCTTGCTTCATATAATAATAAGTTAGGTTTACGTGGAAAATATGCTGTTCCTCTGATGTGATATTAAATGGAGGCCTTGTGTTGGAGATTCCTCATTCTTACTAATTGTTTGAGAGTAGGAGGAAACCCTGGTGTTCGGGTCCACCTGCTTATCCCCATAATCCCCTTTCAGTTATACAGAGAGTCACATTGATTTATTTCGTGATTCCTTTCCCAAGCAAAACATGCTTAATAATGAGGATAACAGAGCAACAATGATGTTGATTATAATTTTTCTTACAGAAAGTTTGAGTGGGCTTATATTACAATACCCAAGTATCAATCTCGGGCTTTCTTACCGACCAATACACCGGCTATTACTCCACAGACGGCTAATACTGCTAAAATAATCCCGATTACGATCCCAGCAACCTTTCCCGTGGACCATTTTGCTGTACTTTTTGTGTCAGGAACATTGACTGGTGCATCATCAGAATTCCGCTACAAGTACAAGCAAAGGGATACAAACTCGTGAAAACAGCTGAGATATGGGTAATTTGCAGTGATGAGTTGAGACATCTATATCCGTTAGGATTGTACTTGACGTTGTCTTTAACGTGATGATTTAGAAAAAATCCTTCTTATATGAAAATGTACGAATCAATATAGATGATGGAGGACTTGTTCTATGAACACCATGACAAAATACAAACAAACCAAAAAGAAACAAATTAAAACAAAACACTAAGCGTTATATTACAAAGAAAAAAATCCTTCTTATATGAAAATTTAAGAATCAATATAAATGATGGAGGACTTGTTCTAGAAATGCCATGACAAAAATACAAACAAACAAAAAAGAAACAAATTAAAACAAGACACTAAGCGTTATATTACATAATCATGTATGTTTTACTTTAGAGAACATAATAAAAAGAAGAAATGTGTATAGTATAAGGAAAATGTGAATACGAATAGATCACAAATATAAATGATAGGGCCTTGTATTAACGATCGCAATAATAATGGTGATGATAATGATTTAGATAATGATAACAGTTATGGTTAAATACTGCACTAATGAAATAGAGTTGTTATCAGATACACTAGGAAAAGTAACACAAAATGGACTGAAACTAGGTGTCATGATAATAAATCTGACGATTTCCCGACGTATTAATGTATATGCAAGTTCATCCAAATTAATACGGCCATTAAAGGAAAAAGGAATTTCCATTATGCTATCTGAGTCAATTTTGCAGGATATTACTTGTATACCGTTGCTTTGATAGACAGTTATCATGGTTAAATTATTCTTGACGTCTTCATCATTGTATGTAAATGTATATAAATTTACCACAGGGCGGTGTTTCAAATACCCCAGTCTTAGTTTTTCCCCACATTATTACGGTCATTATACGGTCAAGTAATATGTTTAACCTAAGTGAAGGTAATTACGTACCATTCTAATGGAAATTAGTGCAGCCATTAGTAAATTAATAGCTTGTTACCGCCCGGATGTAATAACCTTCATGGCTGTATGTTTTAATTACCTCAAAGAGATGTTGAACAACTCTTCCAATGTTTTGACCCATGATAAAAAAAAAAATTGGTGCGAGACAGTTACCAGACGAAACTTATGCAAAGTTTTGATTACCATATGTGTATATTTTTTAATATCAAAGATTATCTCTGATATGACTGAACTTATTTGAGGTGTGTATTAACGTGACAAGAGTTAATTACAAAGTTATTCAAAAACGATTCGAGATAATTATGCCGTGTCGGGGGTAAGTAGGTCTGCATAAATGCGCCAATATAATAATCATAAACAAGAAGTAGAAACCATACATGCATAATTTGTTTGTCTGTGTAAGTAAAGTCAATATAGCAGTATGCAAATACACAACTTTCAATAACAAGAACAGTGCGCGGCCATAAAGGGATATGTTCATTCAGGTAGACCTTATTCGTTTCACAACTTAGAAAGGCATTCAGAGATATCGTTTTTTGGAAGTGAAAGCCCTGATTCAAGTGATGCAAATTATTTAATAATATTTATCATTGGCCTATGCAGCCATTTACATAATTTTCATATTCATAGAAAATGGGTAATACATAGGAGAAGTTGTCTAAATCTGGGTTTTCCCGTTCCAAGTTAAATTCTGAGGACCTAGAAATTGCCCCCGCCTTTTCCCCCTTTTTTGGGCCTCCCCCACTGTTTTATTTATCTGTAATGATTTTCTGTAAAGTAAAGCATCATACAAAAAAGTAATAGAGGACAACAAAGAAGATAGAAATATTAATATCTGATGATTTTACAAGTTAAAATAGAAGGTCGATGTAGAAATGGTCTCGGTTACGATACCCGGTTGGAACTGGTCGACGGAACAGGATATATATCGGCCGATGAAGACGGTCTCTCTACATCAGGCAGTGGAGAAGATGTTTCACCTGCTACAGAAAAGAGCCCTCGCGGTGACCGCTTGGTAAAAACTCGATCATCTGGGGTTTCGACAGGGGACAGTCTTCCCAAACTATATACCGGTTTATCTGGGACTGGATCGTTTAGGTTTATTGAAGGAACCGGATCCCCATGGAACTGCACAGTTGGTGTAACCAATATTAAGGTAGGACTTCCTCCCCTGCAAGAAAAAAAAAATCGAGAAAAGTACGTAAGCAACGCCAAATAACATGAAATAATTTATTGATCCATTAAAAGATAATATGTACATGGGTTGTATAAGCGATAAAAATGCATTGTCAAATTTACTTCGGACAAGTGATAAATAGAAAAATGAATAAATGATTTTTTTTCTTCTTCTAAAGCACTGTTTGGAAAGAAGAAGTACAACAGGAATACACAAGGTACGGGGGAGAGGGGGGGGGGGGGGTCCTCGTGTCACATTGAATAGCGTACGTAAAGATAAAGTTGAGTTCTGGGCATGCGATTGCATTGTGAAAAAAAACGGTGTGGAATCCATCAGCAAAGGTTAATCATCTAGCATATAAGTATTGGTGTGTACTTCAAGGTTCTGGAGTCATCAAAATAATAAGAAATTTGGCCCAGTCTTGTTAAATTTACATGCACTGTACACAGAAATATGTGTATATGGGACTACACGAACATGTGGCATAAAATTCTGTTCCGACTTTTATGCTGTTACATGCCATATTTAGCATTTGAAGAGCCATGCTTTTCAGGGAACATTTGTTATCTGATGGTTTTTTTTCACACTTGCATAATAACAATGATAACGCTCACAAATTATTTGTTCACCTCTTCCCAGAACTCAACCTTCTCTTTAATGAGTCATAAAATATAAATGTAAGCCGCATGCTGGAGTGATCTTGAACAGGCCTTTATTAATTTCCTTTAAAGAACGCCAACACTACTGGGCCAGAGGGGATTAGACCACACAGCGAGGTCACTGACAGGTGGCCATGTCATTAACTCAGCTCTCAACTAACATAAGAAAAAGAGGATCATGGGGGACCAACAGGCACTGATTGAGGAAGTTTTCTATATAGATGGAGCAAGTAGCTACAAGTAGGACAGTGGGGCTTTAAACAATGCTTTTACTTTGACAAAAAAGAAGGTTCGTCCAACCGTCTAGACGGACGTTTTCTATTTCATGGTTGGTACTTTCAGGCCGTCTTTCCCCTTTTTTATACAATGTTGGTCAAGATTATACATTATATGGAAAAAATGTGAGTGAAATATATTATCGATTTAATTTTTTTAAAATAGTCAGTATGTAAGTGCAATGTTTGGAATATCCGCCCGAAAGGGTTGCTTTTTTGTCCATAAGAAGGTGAGAGTGAGAGAGAGAAAGAGAGAAGAAGAGAAGAGGGGGAAGAGAGAGAGAGAGAGAAAAAAAAAGAAAGAAGAGAGGGAGAGGGAGAAGTGATAGGAAGGGGGTAGAGGTGAGTAGAGGTAGTCAACTCGCACTAGAAATATACGTGAACAAGGTTTTATTCACATCTTCAGTTGTTGATACAGACTGTCTGGAAAATGTTTTCTTGTCTGCCTGTTTTTTCTTCAGATGGATTCTTTGGTTGGGGCAAATTATGAATAGTTACAATTACGTATTTCCAATAAACCGTACACAGTTTTCAAAACAATAACGTATAGCTTTGACAGTTTCCTGGTGAGGATAGATTTGAGCGAAGTTTGTGGTAACATCACGTAGAGGCAGTGGCGTAATGAGCAAAAACTGTTTTTTTTTGTTTGGGGGAGGGGGGGGGGGGCTGACAAAAAAAATCCGCAGCACCCCACTCTGACATGTAGGCCCCGCTGAACGTTTTGCAAAGTGGGTCTAGGTGCAAAGCCCAGGCGGGGGTCAAGGGGCGGAGCCCCCGAAGCTCAAGGGGTATGGGCATCAGTGGCGGATCCAGGAATTTCTTACCGGGGGGGGGGGGGCACAAAATGGCATGGGGTTAAATATATGTAAAACGATGAAGCGACAGAACGAGGCTTTAGCGGCGAGGGAGCGGAGCGACCGAGCGGGGGTGGCTCTGAGAGGGAGTTCTGGCCCCTCCCAGAGTAAGAAGCATTTGCAATTTAGAACCAAATTAGACGCATTTTCAGGCACTTCCTGGAGTAATATGACGTAAAATTGCTTTCTCCTACCCCTTCCAAGAGTAGGGATCTTTTGCAATTTGAGAACCACATTTGGCGCTTCAATGTCCACCGGCACTTCCTGGAGGTAAAAACGAGGTTATAAAATAGGGAAAAGTGATCTGTCACGTCTTGAGACGTTGTATATGCTTTGATGCCGCACAATGCACAAAGACGGTGGTCCGGTACTTCATCAGTAGTACTTACAAAAGTATATAGTACTTTCTCGAGTATATAAACTGTGTCGTTATCAGAGGCGTCGCTAGATCTTTGTCAGTGGGGGAGTGGGAAGGGTGTAGAGGCCACCGATTACCGACAAAACGAGCAACCAATTACCAACAAATATATTAATGCGAATGTCCAAATGTCTTCAAATTTAACCCTATAAACCCGGGCAAGGAAGTAATTTATTTTTTAGTCTCCCCCTCCCGCGTGAAGCGTGGTAACTATGAAATTAAATTATTAGAGAAAGAAGAAAATCTGTTGTACCGTTCTCGACTCTTAATTCTTGTTTGAATCCAGTTCGCCCCCCCCCCTCTCCCGCGCAAAGCGCGGCAGTTTTGACGTTTCAATAAATTATTACTCTTAATCCTTGTCTGAATTCATTCTCACCCATCTCACGCGAACCGCGGAAGCTTTGACGTTTCAATAAATCATTACTCTTAATCCTTATCTGAATTCATTTCGCGTTTACGTTTAATTAGATTATTAGAGAAAGAAGACGATTCGTTGTATCTTGTTCTTGTCTGAATTCAGTTTTCCCCCTCTCGCGCGAAGCGCGGAAGCTTTGACACTTCATTAAATTATTAGACAAAGAAGACGATTCATTGTACCGGTTCCAACTTTTAGTCCTTGTTTGAATTCATATTCGCCCATCCCGCTCGAAGCGCGGAATTTTTGACACTTCATTAAATTATTAAAGAAAGAAGACGATCCGTTGTACCGTTCACTTCTCTTAATCTTGTCTGAATTCAATTTCCCCACTGGGCCCCTTAACATTACATGTGCAGTGTTACATTATGTGAGTATGGAACGTCCGGCAGTGCTTGTCACAGTTGCTTCTGGAAAGGATTTTTTTTTTTTTTTACTAGTGTTACTGTTAGTGGCCACGGCCCCTTAGTGACTATAAAGAAAACATATGCTCTTCCTGGCCATTTGGGAATGTGTCAGTTTGCAACAGAAATGGAGAAAAGCGCATTTTGTTGAAAATCATGTGATATCAAGAACATTTATACATCACTTGTATATGGAATTGAAAATAAGTCATGGTTCAATTTTATTTGGGGGGGGGGGGGGGCTGGCGCCCCCCACCGGTACGCCAGTGTGTAGAGGTGTCGTGGTCGAGTGGATATGTCCCAGGACTGTGGATCACGAGGTCTGTGGTTCGAATCCCGCCGCGGCACCAATGTCCATAAGCAAGACATTAATCTAAATTTGCCACACACGACCCAGGTGAGGTAAATGGGTACCCGGTAGGATTGTTCCTTGAAATGCACTGTGCGCTGATAACGGCTTCAGAAGCTAAAGCTAGAGTAATAATTTCCAACGATCCAATGCTATACAAGAACTGAATGTTATAGTTATTCTTGCAATAGGTTGTGCCTATCGTATTCAACATGAGTGTATATGTTAAGATACGGGTTGGTATAACCTCGGGCAGGGTACACTTCACCAGTCAGATGGTTACTAATCGATTAAGCCACAGTCAATTCTTGTACGTAAGCAACTAGGGTAACGATGGATTTGGGTCCTCTCCGCGGGATTTGGTAGCGCATGGACTTGGTTTCGAACCCGGGACCTGCCGGTTACGAGACCAATGCGTTAACACTGAACCATCGCGCCTTCTAAAATTATGTTAGAACTTAGAAGGCAATCGGTCGCGTGGAGCTGGAATAACCGTGGAATCCCCCCCCCCCCTGAATGCATTTTATGACACTTGTCAAATCACAATAAACCAAATTATACCTAGGTGAGGAATCTGCACCATCCCTTCATGATACACTTCGTGACATGGTGTTATTCCATCACAGCACGTCACCCAGATGTTAAAATATCACATCAATTGACACCTCGTGTGCAAAGGATAATACCGTCTACTCGACCCTCCGGAAATTAAATTATCACTTTAGTAAAAAAGAAAATTACAATAAATCACAGCTTACCTTGGAGAGGAATCACCAACATCCTCTGGTGCTACACGACGTGACATTGTGTTATCCCGTCACAGCACGTCACCCTGCTGTAAAATCCAGATTGCGTGTTCCACCATAAGTGAAGCTAATATTCCAATGAGACCCTCACGAGGAATCTCGTGTCAACCATGAATATGGTATCAACTAGATCACAATCGCCGTTACATCATTTCTTTAAGCTACTGACGACCGCTGTGCACTCATCCCGAACCGGACTCGTCCGACAGACCGCGGAGGGTAACACGATTCGTTACCTCATGTTGAACCGAATCCCTGGAAGCCCTTTCAGTTACAGCGATAGATACTTCGATCAGGAGGACTGAGTGGTTTAAACGCAAATAAGAGGTAGACAAACATACACATTTCGAAAGAGGAAGGGGCAAGAAAAGCTGAGAGACCTTGGGGTCCAGATTATGAAAAAGGAGATTTAAAGAAGAAGTCAAAATTTGGTGGCAAAGAAATGGATCGTCTGACGGGAAGTGATAGGGCTGAATATACTTTGATTTGATTTAGAATAAAGAGTAAATTATATGCCTCTGCGATTTACACTATCCAACGACATGTTTCATCAAATACGGAATAAAGAATATTTTGAGCAACAATTACGCAAATTTAAATTTAATTATGACTGAAGATCTGGGCCGTCTCCTCATACAATAAAGTTGCGTTGAAAGGCAACTCAAAACATTGAACGTAACTTGATTTTCAACCGATCAGGATAGCGTATTGGAGGCTTGCATCGTGTTTAAATGTATATTTTATGTGCACGAAGGGCCCTATACTTAGTCTAGAAATTGATCGGGGTACTGGAATCAGGATGGGGCTGGAGGCTTATGGTACGGTTTCACTCGAAGGGTAAAAATCAAATCGACAATTGGGGGTGTAGGAAAAGATCGCGGAACTTCTTTCAGTGAACCCTTCTTCTTACCTTCGCTTTTCCCCTATTCATTTTCCTGACTTCTTTCTTTCTTCTACCCTTTTTCCCTTCAGGTCTCATATCACCAATAATTAGGTCTTGAAATAAATCGCGCTGTTTTAATTCATCTATACTCGGTAAGTTAGCAATTGTTACATGACACCGTAGCACATCTCGATGCCTCTCATTTCAGTGAGCCATTTTCATTTTCGCAACAAAAGTCATCACAACTTGTTTTCTCCTATTTAGAAAGACTGTTTGTCCAATATCACAACCACATTGTCTCTCTTCTGGAAAATATCATCCCTTGCATGACAAATAGTCCCAATCTACTCTCGTTAAAAAAAATCATCTTGTTACCACATCACATGACATGTAATGTTTGTCGTACACTGTCCAGATAATCTCTCTACAAATAGAAGAAAGTAATAGACGCATTCAAGGGACGCATCCCTGGCCATGGGTAGAAGCCTTTTCGAAAGTAAGCAAACACTGTACTCTGAAAGGAGAACAGAAGATACAGGTGAAATCTTAGATTATGAAAAGGTTGCCACGGGGCTTCTACACAGTAAAAACGCTGTTTAAAAAAGTGATGTTCACTTACAGTTGTACACTATCTTAAACAACAGTTGAACAAATTGTAAACAATGTTGCTCGAAACGAAAGTAATTTTGTTAAACATTTGCTGTTTAAAATTTAATGACTGCTATATTTACTATACGAGAGCTTTTAGACAGTGTTGTTTACATATGACGTCATGTGTCTCGTGCCAGTAAAGTGCGCGTTGGCTAAAAGCTTTATTTCACATTGTTATGTTTAGAAACAGGTTCCTTGAAACTAACATGCAATTGAAATTAACATGCCACTTAGAAATGCAGTGCAGCTGTTTAGGCACAGCTCATTGTTATTCATATTAGATGCATACACACAATGCAAGTGTAGATGCAAGGGTCTTCTGTTGACTACACAGATTGATACATATGTAAAAGCACATGTAAATTGCGTCTGGATTAAACTACCAAAGCAACCACACGTGTTTCTGCAGGCTCCATTTTGTTTGTCTCTATACTTACATTTATTTAGCTTAATAGTTATTACTTTCCAACCCACAACACAACACACATCACGGCCGACCAAGCTACCGACGCGCTTCTAAGTGACTGGGGATTCAATGGCTTAATTGAAATCACTTTTCTATTAACCAATTTGAAGTTTTTAACTTATAGCGTAAGTTCACAGTTAACATTTTCAGTATCTGTACGCAAATGTCAGAATATAGGTAGACTTAAAATCGTCGCGTCATGCAGTTCGGCACTGATCGCGCACTCGGTTATAACGTGTGCTAAATTCCTTGCCACAGAGATTGCATGTATTCCTATATTATATGCAGTTTATACGTGCGTGCATGCGCGCTCATGCAAAATGGGCACTTTTTTGGCGCTAATTCATGAATTGCAGAATTACCCTACCATATTGTGAGTTTTCATATACCTATATAGAGACCCAGAAGTAGTGGTGCACTTATTCAGAGTATCAAGCCCAAATTATACCCCATTATACAACCCTTTTGTTGTAAACAACCCCCACTGAACAACAGCTCCTTTTTAAACAACTGTCTTTAAACAACCCAGTTGGTGTAAACAACCCCCACTGAACAACAGCTCCTTTTTAAACAACTTTCTTTAAACAACCCAGTTGGTGTAAACAACCCCCACTGAACAACAGCTCCTTTTTAAACAACTTTCTTTAAACAACCCAGTCGGTGTAAATAACCCCCCACTGAACAACAGCTCCTTTTTAAACAACTTTCTTTAAACAACCCAGTTGGTGTAAACAACCCCCACTGAACCACAGCTCCGTTTTAAACAACCGTCTTTAAACAACACCGGTTGTTTGAATTGTGATTTTAAACAAGTTGTTCAAAATGTTGATCAACTAAGTGTTTAAACTTTAAACAACTCGAGTTGCTTAACATTTTAAACAACTCTTAGATCAGGTCACCCGTTAATCAAGAGTTGTTTAAACTTTTAAACAACTTGTTCACAAAAATTTTAACTGTGTATGCATCCGTTTCTATAAACGCCGAAAATATCAGACGAACGGACTCCTAGCCTTCAGTTTTTGTTATGATCTACTTTGTAACAAACAAAAAGTCATGATACAAACTAAACAAAAACCGGGTGTAGACGTGACGAAACGATTTGACTCACTGAGACATGGAGAATTGTTCGCACAACTAAGCGAGGTCTTAAGTCATAGTGTGGTATTAACCGGCTGATACAAAAAGAAGAGCTTTGAGAAAGATGAAACCATTTATATGTCAAAATGAAAGGCAATTATGATAAAGCAGCTACGCTAAAAAAACAACAACAACAAAATGGGTCCTAAGCATGAAACATTTATACAACACATGTCTTTGCAGTTAGCCATAGAAATGTTGAGCGTATTTTCTCTATGGAATTCATTCGAGTTTTCATGAAAGCTTATAAGTTAAAATATCATATTTATAACAAAGATTTTTGAAAATTAAAATGAAAACTAACCAAAATAAACCTAATCCAAATGTATCCCGGTATCAAAAATCGCCTGCAAATAGTAAAGCAGATCCGTTAAGTTATGACGAGCTAGTATAACAATTCTATCTTTTTCTTTCGAAATATACCTCATTTCCGAATATTCATAACCCAAGCGAGACAATGCGTGCAATGGAGGCCAGACTAGATCTCTCTCTCTCTCTCTCTCTTTCTCTCTCTTTTACTCTCTCTATCTTTTACTCTCTCTCTCTCTGTCCCTCTCTTTCACTCTCTCTCTCTCTCTCTCTCTCTCTCTCTCACCATACGGTAGGTTACAGGCAGCGTCCATAGAATGCGGATACCATTTTAATAATGAAGAGGCAGACGGCGAGAGGAATTAAAAAAAGTTAATGAAACACGTATTTGCCTTAGTCTTCACCTCTTGATAAGTCATCACTCACTACGATATTCGGAAGAACAAATTATCAAGTTCATGATACTGTGTGGTAAAATTTATAGGTCTATTCGTGAAGGAAGGAACTGCAAACCCTCTCCTCAACACACACATACATACCAAAGAGAGAACTATTTTGTCAGCCGACCAACATCTTCAGTCCCGAGAGTGAATAAATATAAGGATGGCCCTTTAATTTGCCCCAGGACCCCGAAAAAGGCTTCGACCTTCAGATCTGAAATAGTCGAGAACTACAATAGTTGTTGACTATTTCTCTTCTATGTCTTGTCACATATAGCTACGATTGATGTACTTTTGTCAATTAAGACCTACTATGCTTAGTTAAAGTTGCTCTGTTTACCCTCTCAAATGACAGTAGACGGACAATCCAAACAGAAAGGGATTGTTCATTTGTTACATGTTAACTTAGAATTTGTGTATATTGTTTTATTTTTCACTCCTTTCACTTCTTTCTTTTCAGTTGTTTAAAATTTTATTTTTTAAAATTCTACCTTCCAAGTTAAGCATTGATCAACCTAAATTATATTGTTTTACTTTAAATCATCAAATACAGTACATGTTCATATAAAACTGATTGGTATAGGCCCACTATTAATTGTTATACTTATACATGATTTTGAATATGATACGTGACTCTATTTATATTAAAGACCGTCAATACCACTAGGCCAGAAGGGATTAGACCACACAGCGAGGTCACTGACAGGTGACTATCTCATTAACTCAGCTCTCAACTAACATAAGAAAAAGAGGATCATGGGGGACCAACCTGCACCGATTGGGGAAGTTTTCTATATAGAGGGAGCAAGTAGCTACAAGTAGGACAGTGGGGCTCTATGATCCGGTCGATTAATGACGTTGTGTATTTAATTGTATACGAAATTTTTACAGGAATCACATTCTTTTTCAGCTGTAGAACAAAGATGGTGTCGGGAGTGGGGTAACAAAATAATATTCAGTCATGGTCGTGAAGGGGTCGGCGAATTTTGACATTTTGAATACGCACACGGATGGTACTGGTCGTATTCTTTTAGTTATTTTTGTCGATGTGCTATATTAGTGCCCTTTTGTGGGGCATTAATCCTCATTACTGTCATTTATGACTTAAGGGCATAGGTCCCCTAGTTGATAAGCATAGTAGCATACATATGCTTTAGCAGTCACGCAAAGCACACATTGGCAAATTATTGTTCAATAAAATCTGAGAATGTATACTATTATCTAAATCTATTATTTTTAAATCATTTTTCAAATAATTCCATAAATTGGGATAAACAAAATATTCCACCTTTTAGGCGACAGTATAGTAACGATTAATAATAGTGCGGTTACGCCTGTACATATTTACGGCCCAAATAGTTACATATCTTTTTTCGGAGTTACATGAACTGTTATGTTATTATGGTGAAGAGCTATACATATTAGGGGAAGATTTTAATACTATTTTGAACCCAAAGCTCGGTAAAATTTTTTAAATATTGATTCATAACCACCTACAAATAAGTTAATGAAATTTGGAACTCCATCCCCAAAGATGTCTATTAATTCTTTCAAAAAAAATTGAATCAGTTTCTTTATCTCAAATATATTTATAGTTATTCATCTTATGTTTATATATGTGCTATTTTTTGTTTGTTTTTTCTTTATTTTTTCTTTTTGTTTTGTTTTTGTTTATCTTTGCCTTACATTATGCTATGAATGCTTAGGGAAATACGCTTGTACAAGACCTAAAGGCTTTATTCATGTAGTTCCCCATTTCATGTTTTAAATTTGTTTATGAATTATTTTTGTATCTTTTGTATCTCTTTAATTTTTAATCGAGAATGAAATTAATGCGAATTGAATTGAATTGAATAGTTTGTTTGTTATAATGCCATTTAAAATATTATATCTGATTTTGAATTAGTTGATGTATGGAGACATCTTCACCTTGCGCATTGTAATATATTTGGATATCTCACGATTGTAAAAGTGGAGGTCGTTTAGATTACTTTCTGATATCCCAGAGTTTCGTTCGGTCACTTAACAACAAAAATGAAACAATTTTTGGATATAAAAGTGACCATTTATTTGTTTCCTTCATTTGACAAAATCTGTTATTGGAAACTCAACCCCGCATTATGGGCAGATGCAGTAGTTGTTGAATAAATAATAATGAGACTAATATAGTTTTGGCTGAAAATGCAGGATCGAGCTATAGTCTGATATGGGAATTATGACATTTTGAGTTCATTGTAGCTTATCGAAAATTCCAAAAAGAAGAAAAAGGAACGCAAAATGCGATTAGAAGAGTTTGAGAAAGAGATAAATACGTTAACCAACAATAAGGAATGTTTTGATAATGAAAGTTCACGTACTGATTACGAAGGTGAATGTAATACCAAAGGTTTTTTTAATTATAAAAAAGGAATTTGCAGCAAAAAAATATTTCCAGGCTTCAAACGGCAAACGGACCTATTAAAGATTTTAAAGATATTCTCGAGGGAGAAAGGTTGTTTTACCTTAGTTTAAATGCATCTCGTGATAATAAATATTTTCCTTGTGAATTCATTAACAACGTTAATTAACCTAATCTGGATTTAGGTCTTTAGGTGATCTAATTTCAGAGAACGAGTGCTATGAAACTATTACAGCTTTTAAAAATGACAAGTCACCGGGATCAGGTGGACTCCCGAGTTTTTAAAAAAAATTCTCGTATGATATCAAAGACTTGTTCCGTTTACAATTCCTCTTGTTGCCAAACGAAGTAGATATGTATTACTTCTCAAAAACTGACGACTAATATTACTTCTAAACAGTGTTTATAAGATTTTCACAAAAAATCTCTCATTGCGATTAAAAAGGGTTTCAGGGCTTTTGATAAGTAATGACCAATATGGTTTTATTAAAGGACGTCTTATTGGAGACAATATGCGATTATTTATTTATATACTAAACTTTGTAAAACAGAAAAATATCGACGGTTTAGCTTAGAGAATTGACTTTGAAAAAGTTTTAGATATGACTGGAATTTTATTTACGATGCTCTCCATATTTGGATTCAAACAGTATTTTATTTATTGGGTAAAATTACTGTATACAATAATACAAGGACGAGTTATTATTCGCCTGAGATTCATTTGAGAAAATGCTTGGTGTGAGGCAGGGATGTCCTTTGTCTCCAAATCTTTATATTATTGCAGTTGAAGTACTTTGGCTTTTTCGTGAGACACAATAAAGATATTCGTGGATTAAAGGAATTACATGTGGAGGTAAAGATTAGTCAATATTCAGATGACACGGTTATTTTTTTACTAAAAAAAAATTAAACCTGATAAACGGAATACTCGTAGATGCGTTAAAGCTAAGAATGACTTCAGAGAAGCTTCTGGATTGAAAATTAATTTTGACAAATGAAATATGTTTAGACTGGGAAATTGTAAAGTTACAATGCCTATGTGTCAAGACATTATATGTATTTAGCCTTCAGATTTGTTTACATACTTAGGTATTAAAAGATTCCATTGAATGGTAATTTGAGTTTCATGATCTTAATTTAAATCAAAATTTGAAGAAACTGGGACAACGTTGAATATATGGAATCGTAGGCCTTTAAGCTTGTATGGAGAGGTGACCATCATTAAAATCTCTAGTTATACCAAAATTGATTTATTAACTCTTTTTGCTGATCCCCCTTTATCATTCTTTTCAGAACTTCAGAGATGGAGTAATAACGAGGACAAAATTAGACGCGATTTGCTTTACAATGAATATAAAGAAGGATGACTTAAAATTCCCAATCTTTTAGCTGGTACAAGATTGCGATGCGTTTTAATGTAAAGTTAAATACCCAACCTTCTTCTGCTGATTTTTTTATTCACAACCTAAGCAAACTATAATCAGGACAAGACATTGCACAGGATTTTATCAGAGAGAGAGAGAGAGAGAGGGCGCTCTTCGATTTTGATCAAACGAACACTAGCAATGACTGCTCTTTCTCTCTGTCATGTCTTTTTCTATTACCCTTCGTTCGCGGATTAATAATGACCTTTTTAGTGTGCAGCTTTACAGATATCGTATCAAATATCATTGAGCGTGTTGAACTGAAAATCCTTAATGTCAATGCTATTTATTCGTCAATGCCTCTTTACTCGACTAAGATGTGTCGTAGTCGAGTGGTTTAAGCATTTGACTTGAAATTCAAATGTGGTAGTTCGATCCCCGACACGGCACTAATATCCTTTGGCAAGGCATTAATCTACATTTGCCACTCATTACCCAAGAGAGAAACGGGGATCCGATAGGATGAAGCAAGCATTTGTGTGAGTAATTGCCATGCCCTCACAGTAATCATATGGTAGGAATACTCCCCAGGGTGTTGAGATGACGCATATTGTTAGTGATGAATCCGATGATCGGGGTAAAAATATTAAAAGTGCTTAGAGACGGTTTACGTTTTAAGCTCTACATAAATCCAGATTATTAATATTCCTTTATCATTCCAATCAAAATATTTCCTCCCATCCACTTTAATGAGAACTATTAACACAGAAAGATTTGATTGCGTATTGAAAGCTCTATTATCTATATACATATATATATATATATATAATCAACAATTCATCAATGCAAAATACCGAAGCTCAAGATTAAACATAATTAACGTCTTAAAATTAAAGTGTTAAATTCCACTTATTTGGTATAAATAATTTCTGTGAATACAAAACATATGTGCACAATAAGTAAACTTACATGACTTTGATCCCCAATGGTCCTTAAGAAATCAAATTTAGCTTCTTAGCAATCATTCATATTGTCTTCTGCATTTATCAATTGTCTGTGTATTCTAAAACGATGTGTTCTATATATCATTATCAAACACACACAGTTTCACCAACGAAAAGACATTTCAAAACCTGATTTTATGTTATCTTCCAAAGTTCATTATTGTGAAGAGATATATGAAAGCTCATTGTACCTTAATTGTTTACATATTCTTCAGATTACATGGCGTAACGAAAATAATCCTACTAAATGTAATACAAAATCTAGATTTTATTTAGTATACATGCGTAACTACACTGCAGCAGCGATTAACCTTTAACACGCTTATAATTTGATATTCATTAGACAGAATAATTATATCAATATATCTGTACAGTACATAAACGAGACACTGTTACATTGTTCCATTGTAAAGATAAATTCAAATCAATTATTGGTAAAATTACCCTTTCGAATAAAACTATTCACACATCTCGTAAATTTAAAATATGCTCATCATAACAATATCTAAAACCAAATCCTGTTTGAAATAAAGATTTAGGGTACTAAATTCATGAATTAATAGCTGCTCAAATATTTTATCCACAACAAATAAAGACAAACATATATGAAAGGTGTCTTCTACAATATGCGCTCAAATTAAAAAAAGAAAGAAATAATGCAGTAAACGTAGACACAACTTTTTATGTTTATTAAACTATTTTTTTTAAAAGAAATCTTTTCCCCTTTCATTTGTTCTCTTGTTTCAGCATTTATCATGTTTATGGCACTCTGTTTTGTGTTTCAGACACTGGATACTGATAGTTTATTGACGCTTTTTTAAAATTAGTGGTTTTGTAGGTTGTTTCCATAAGACACATACATTTTGTATACTTTTATCCCGCACAATATAGTGGCGGGTTCTTAAAGAAAGATAATTATTTAAAAGAAAGAAAAGGAAAGAAATCCACTTCATAAATTCACTTCAAGCAAGATTATTAAGTCAATTGAAATATCTTACCTCGTATGCATTAAATATAGAATGAGCGAATTTTTCTAAGAATAGATGAATACCTACCACATCTGATTATGATAATTGTTGTCAGCGTATATTTTCAGTAAAGATAAATTTCATACAAATATCTGACTTTCGTTTCACTTCAAATAATTCTTTTTTTCTCGTCGATGTTCATCAACTGAATCAATTAACGAATTGATTACTTCAAACATGTCAGTCAAAAGATCAAAGGCACAACATTGATATATCTTAAGGTAAAGATATACATCGCTAATCAAATACTTTCCACTACATTTCAGGCAACTAGATAAAGGCTACTTATTTTCAAGGTAATAGTGATACAGAATCAACATTCAAATTCAAAACATCAACAAACGATTCTAATCCATATTCGTGTGTCTTGGAGAAGGCTTATTTTATTGATCAAGCATAATTATGGTTATTGCTTGTTATTCCCTATGTAAGCATTTGCATGTCGGGGGGTAATTGCTAATTCTATAAATACGACCCATTTTCTTAACACATTTAAGCAACCATCCCGTCAGGTTTGGTCGGTATAGCAGCTGCTTGTTGGTTGTATGTGGCACCCAGAGCTTGGTTGTATGTGGCACCAGGAGCCTGGTTGTACGGGGCACCAGGAGCTTGGTTGTAGGGAGCTGGAGCAACAGGCTGGCCAGCAAGGGGATACGCCTGCTGAACGTTGTATGCGGGAGGGGACTGAGCGATTCCCGCCGGCTGAGTGTACTGGCCTGTGTAGAGACAATGGGAATTTAAGGAATTAGTAGTATACTTTCCCTTCTACTCCAATAAATCGCGATGAATAAACCGATTGTAAAGAGCAGAGTTACATTAAAATTTAAAGAGAGTGAACCAAAGTTGAATCACCTTATCATTAGTAGTGCGTATTCATAAAAATATAGCGCATCAATCTTAGAATAATAACAATAAATGTGAAGTATTGAAAACCTTATCATTCAAACTATAAAAATCGTTGCCAACCTTGTCTACATGTATGTGGACAAGTCTAAAAGTATTATGTCCGATACGCTACCGACCACATTTCAAAGACTGAACTATACCAACAGATAGTAACAAGTTGATATTTTTTTTAGCCGGGATCTAACCAGTTCTGAAGGTGAATTGATAGTTCTTAGTGTTTATCGTGTTTTTAAAATTCCATAATGCTTAGAAACATATGGGACATGGAATTAAACTTGCCCATATTTTACAAAAATGTTGCATTTGGATCAAAGAGGTTTTCCCAAATTAAGTATAATCCCCCAGCACACATTAACACGATCGTTAGGTAAATAACTCAATGACCATAGGTAAATGTGTCTATCTTTAAAATTCAGTGTGAGTGATTATTAATCTTACTGATGACGAGAATTTCTTTTCAGGACAGTTTAAACGGATCCTGAAATTAAGTATTTATCATTTCAGCTGGTGACCATTTCAAATATTAATATTTAATTTAGCTCTGTGATATTCCTAGTATCACGGTCTATACTTTCTATCGCTTGAATTCCTCTATAAAGTATTTAATGACAAGATCATGTTTGTTATTGAGTATATTTAGATAAGAGTTGAAGAAGAACAAAAAAAAAAAAATCGTTATTCACATACCGGTCGTCACAACCATCGGTTGATTCTGTTGGGTATACTGCAAAGGAAATTGAAACAATTGAAATAAATGTAAGATAAAAACCAAACACTACTACTACTACTACTAATAATAATATACCCTGTCTACTTTGGTATAGTTTAAATTACATTAGATCAACGAATACGCTGTTGGACAGCATTATTCTAGCTTCCCTCCAGCTCCTGTAGCGTGTATCGGGTGATCGTGGCAAGGAATAAATTCTATTAGGTATCAATTATTTCAGCTTGATTGAGAGTACCAAACGTATATTTATGTCTTGCCACATACCATTGGTGCCATACAAGGGCACTCATATCAATCTGCAAGTAATGTCCTTTGGCAGTATTAAATGTCTGTTGCGCTATGTGGGGGCTCGAACCTACGACCTTCCTGTATTCGAAGCTCCAGTGAAGTCATACTACTTGATTGATATACTCAATACTGGAAACAGCAACAGCAAATAAATTTCTACCTATCTTCCCTCTTAGATAAGGTCTAGATTAAATATCTGGTAAAAGGAGCGTCTCTGCAAAGCTTTGGACCCGGGTTATAAGGGGATGATGTTGACAAAATTGTGCAAGTAAGCTGACATATACTGACAAGCAGAACACAACAACAACAACAAAAGAAACCCGGTCATCCAAAGCTATATTTCTAACGAGCAGAAACAGAATAAAACAAGGTCATTACTTTTTCATTAATTAAAATTTCCTGATAAAATGATAATGAGTAGGGGCTGGTATACGCCATTGCAACCTCCAACTCCACTCAAAATTGATGTTTTTTTTTCCTAAGAAGCTTTTCTTAAACCAAAGGAGAGGAAATTTACCTTTAGCGGAAATATATTGGAATATGCTCCAAGTATACGTGGTTGGATAACTCTCTATAGACAATGGATTCCACCATATGAGCGTGTATTTTCTACTCCAAAGGAAAAACAATGTGACTCTCCGCAAAAGAGAGTGCCTGTCCACTCCTTTACATTTAGAGAGAGAGAGAGAGAGAGAGAGAGAGAGAGATAGGGGGGGGGGGGGGTTGATGATTACTCACCACAGTGGTGGTGGTTAGTGAAGACGAGTTGCCACAACTCATGCCACCACAACAGAAGGCTGAAGCCACAATGGCTACAATCATCTCGATCAGTCCAAGAATGGCCAATAGAGAGTCAGATGCGATACTTGCCTCCTGTTAATCAAAGTCGGATAGTTTATTTATTTATCTATTTATTTATTTATTGATGAAATATTCGTTACAAAGCAAACCAGCCAATATTGATCGGGTTTATCGGCTCTATGTGTGTGATTTCTGATCAGAAGAAAATCAAAGCAAAGTGTGCAAAGCTTACATCTTTGGATCTGTGTTTAATCATCGTATAGGGGTATCCCAACCGGAAAAATATAATAGATCAACATTTCGGTGCCCATTCGACTTCAAGCAATACTTTATTTAAGCTTTGAACGATACGGGATCATACACGATTTTATCAAAGAGAGTTTCTTACTGGTCATCCAATTTCGTTGAAAATAACTGTTACGAGTAACAGTTTTCTTAAACATTGAATATGTAGTAAAATGAACAGTTGTCAGTTGTAGATTATGAGTTGTGGGCATCCTCAAATTAATTACTTAATGGACTGAAAAGCACAAAACGAAAATGAGAGGATAACAATCAATAATAAACCATATTGTAATATTCATTTCATGGAAGAGGGTAAAGGAAATGCCTTCCAACTTTAAGGGAAAATATAGTGAATATACATACCCGTAACCCTGGTTCATTGTAGCCAGAGGAATAATCGCTACTGATGATTCCTGCCCCAATGCTACCAACAATCATCTGACCAAAGGCAACATTTGCCGTGATGATACACATCGTAAGATAGCCGATGATCTAAGAAAAAAAGAAAGTTTTTTTTTAGATAACTCTTTGAAAAAAATAACACAACCAAAACAAATTAATAGAGTATAATATATTGGCGGATGTATCATTTAATGGTTGTAACAAATGTGGTTGCTATACTGTTGAGTGACACTATCATTCCCTCAGCCTCGATTAAACAAGTTTTTAACTGGCCTTGGAACAAATTGAGTGTGTGGTTCGGCTGGGTGGGTGCACGTGCGTGTTTGTGTGTGCGGTCGGTCGCTGTATACATAAGAACCCTCGATTTACAATATAAACATGTTTATCAAAAGGGGGTATGGGCAGGGGCGTCACTAGAGAGGGGGTTGCTGTGTGGTCCCGAAACCCCCTCCCCCACCACCACTTTAATCAGGATATTGTCGTTAAATTGCGTTGCTGTCGGGAAAATGAGAAAAGGGGGAGGGAAAAAACGGAGGAGAGAAAGAAAAAAAAAAGGAAAGGGAAATAAAGAAAATGAAGGAAAGAGAAGAGAAGAAAGAAAGAGAAGGAAAAAAAAAGAATACAGAAAGGAGAGGACAAAATGGAAAATAAAAAAGAGGAAACGAATGATAAAAAAGAAAAGAAAGAAAAGAGAGAAAAGGAAAAAAAGGGGGAAAAAAGAAGAAGGAAAAACAAAAAGTAAGAGAGAGAGAGAGAGAGAGGGAGGAGGGGAGAGGGGAGGGGTTGTTGTTGGACGGAGTCATCTCGTCGAGGGAGCAAGAAAGATACGCATAGATTTGTTGCTGTGTCGAATCAGCTATATTCTCGCTCAATCCTCTATATCAGTTCAGAAGTTTGGACTAGGTGAGATGTATGAATAATGTCGATCGGCCGGCGAATTATTTTTTCCTATGATTATGAACTGTTACACACCATTGCCAATTGTCATTGTCATTGTCAACCTTACTACATGTATAATATCAGCAAAAGAAAAAAAAGGGATTCAAGGATCTCCCCAATCGAGCTGCGAACCCGGGATATATTTGTGTACAGACGCAGCGTCTTCCCGATCGCGCCACACCAAATATTTGCTGATCCTAGTTGTATAGATAGTTCGTATGAAAATTAGCACCCGGCCCCAGGTTTATAGGGTTAATTATGTACATATGTATTTGTCAGTAATTGGTGGCTAGTTTTGTCGGCAATCGGTGAACTCTAAACCACCTCCCCCCCATCCACTGAAAAAGGTCAAGCGATGCCCTTGCGTATGATTAATGATTATATATTTCTAAATGAGACTAAAGGAATACAAACACATACATACCACACAAGTGTTCTTCTGCATCGAACATATTCCTAAGATACCGGTAGGAATGTAGAACTAGGGGAGGAAAATAAGCAATCGTCATTAAAATCAAAATTACAAAAGAAAACTGTATATTAATGTACATTGGACCTCCATCTTGATTACTCTATTGTTTATTTCATAGCAATTGTGTGTGGGGTGTGATCACGTCTAAAATCGTAATGTAATGCTCGCACATTTCAAAAGGTGCTGGGCTTGACTTTTCAAGACATAGTGATAGTGTTAATCATGTATGAAAACAATTGCATACCCAAGAGACCACAAAAATGGTGACTTGCCCAGGCCCGGATCCACAGTGCTGACACTACCCCCCCTCAACGGAACGAAAATAATGGTCTGCGCGAATTTCAAATTTCCGGGGGCAAAGAAAAATAAAATATTACACTCAGTCACTACCCCCCCCCCTCCTCCCCACTGAGCGAAATATTAGTCGGCGCGATTTTCAAATATCAGCCCCCCTCCCCTTCTCGGCAAATCCTGGAACCGCCACTGTACTTACCAGAACACTGGCCCAAATTCCCATGGCGATAGGGCCTACACGGGTGATGAGGACCAACTCGGCAATGGCGACGACGATGCTCCCAATGCCGAGGAAGAGCTGAATCCAACCAGTCGCTCTCCCGGCAGCTCCGTTGAATTTCTGCGACACGCCACTCGATGAGTTAGGGTTCTGCACCGTATTGGCAAAGCTGACTGGAGCGGGCTGGTTGACGTAGACAGTCTGGCCCGGGACTCCGGGCTGGGTGGGATAAGACGTGGCCTGCATGTCAGAGGTAACTTGCTGTATAGGGTTAAGAAGGTTTGGCAAAAACTGAACATGAGTTTTGAAGAACGATGGTAGGGTTAAAAATACATTTATGGTAGCAATTTCAGGACTGTAGGACAGTTGTCCCGCTGGACTATACCACCTCCTCACAACATTGACAAGTGAGAAAGGAGGCGAGAATCCCAGCATGCAAGGGTGTCGATTTGTATCCGTGGTTGGGGGGGGGGGGATGATAGGTGCCAACATATTTTCGGCAATGGATCTAAGCAACCAAGAAATGGAAGCGTGTGGCAAGTTGCACCCCTCCCAAGCGCGTAGCCAGGATTTCATTTTAGGGGGCGGCAGTGAGCACGCGAAGCGCGGAAGCTTTGACGTTTCACTATTAGAGAGAGAAGACGATTCGTTGGACCGTTTTCGACTCTTAATCCTTGTGTGAATCAAGTTCCCCTTCCTCCGCGCGTAGCGCGCAAGCTCTGACATTTCACGTTTCAGTTTTTACGTTTCATTAAATTATCAGTAAAAGAAGACGATTCGTTGTATCGTGTAGTTTGACGTTTCATTTGATTATTTCTCTTAATCCACGTCTGAATTCAGTTGCTCCCCTAACAGCTTTGCCCTTTTCATTAAATTATTAGAAAAAGAAGACGATTCGTTGTACTGTTCTCTATATTAATCCTTGTCTGAATTCAGTTTCCCCACTGAAAATAAGTTGTGACACAAATAAGTTGTGACATAATAATCTTTCTCCAAAAATTAAAAATGTTTAGGAAATATCAGGAATTAAAATGAGTGAAAAAAAATAATAATTAAGATACAATAACGTGAATTTAAAAAAAAGGTGAGTGGAAACAACATAACAACTAGTGAACTATTTTATAAGTCATACTTATGTCCGAAAATCTTCCTCCTTGTCTCCGATCTCATCACGAAATCGTCACAGAGTTCATTTATGTTTACACTGTCCAGGATTGGCTGATGTGCATTGCAGATTGCTACTTTTGCGCTTCGCGTTTAACATTTAGCTCGTTGCTTTTTGACGCTGCGTCTTTGCATTTGGCGCACTGCATTTCTATGATGCCGTTGGTTGAACAAATTGAATAAATTAATCAATTCCTGATGAAGCCGTATGAGCGAGAATTCAATTTATTCTTGTCTCATATACGGTTGTCTTATTTACTTCGTATATATGTATGTATTATGAAAATGAGATAGCAAAATGTGTATATTGATGGTCATCTTGCGAGTAATAACCATTAACTACTCTCATCGGGCTCTCATCATTAATTTTTCTCTTCATTTTTTTTTCTTTGATGGTGAATTATTGGGGGGGGGGGATGATTGTACAGGCCACCCCCCCCACCTGAAATATTGGGGGGGGGGGGGATATATCCCCCATCCCCCCCCCCCGGATCGACACCCATGCCAGTATGTACAAGTTTGTGTTAGGTATTCCTAATGAGCAATGCAATACATTGATTGATTGATTGAACTAGTTCATTAATTATTAAGAAAAGGAATTCACAATAGCAGCCAAAGGCTGTAAAAACCGAATTTACAAAAGGTTAAACATTACATTGCATGAATACAATATTCTGAAAAAACACTCTAAAAATAAACAATAAACAATAATCAACATGGAAATAAAAAAACACTGGGAAATGAGAAGGACAGACGGGACGAAGCTTGAGATAGAAGAAGAGGAAGAAAAAACAACGTAAAGTAATCGAAAGAATCACAGAACAATTACAATTCAAATTCATTGGCAGTACATTTACATTATAAGGTTTAGAGACAAGATTGGATCAACATTGAATTTCAGAATAAAAACTTAATTTCACCTATGAGAGATATCAATTGGAACACAAAAAACCTTGCATGATAGTAAATACAAGTATTACAATTTCAATAATTAAATTCCACACACTAAGAATCTTGCTCTACGATTGGTGAAAAGTAAATCACGTGATGACAGATAGTTCGTCCACCATTCATTGGAGAAGACAAGTTTATTGCACTGTGTAGATAGTAGTACTATCTACACAGTGCAACGCACTTTAATTGTATACGTTGCGTATTGCTCTCCTCTTTAAGCGCGTTTAGTGTTTATAGTACGCGAACTTTGGTCACGCGCGAACTATGGTCAAACCTCCATACTGCATGTACTGTACGTATCGTACACCGTTTGCTAGCTTTTAATTGATGACTTGTTGCTCTAAAACGACTGAAGCAATGAAATGTTTCCGATGTGGAATATAAAGCAAATAATCATCTTTTGGTTTCAGGCGATGGCAAACTATCACTTCCTCGCCGATCTGAACGAATACGCTATCTTTCCTCAGCTTCGCTTCGTAAAGATAACTACATCCACATCGCCTCGGAAGTGATAGTTTGTCCCATCACCTTCACTAACGGTAGTTATTTGCTTACTATTGCAACTTATAAGTTATATAATTATACATCAAGCGTTTGGCATAAATGATGTCAAAAACACATCAGACCTCTATATATGCAGGAATGAGAAACACAAAGAACCAGAAATCAGATGTATATCGATAGAGTGCATCAATATTACATAAGTACAATTGTGTGGACAGTACTACATGACAATGCTCTTTATAAGATGGGTAGAAGAATCCCTGCAATCTGATTGGTAAATTACCGTTTAATTAATTTACTGGATGCACGTGATATCAACACGATTATGGATATCGGAATCGATAGCACCGATATCTGGTTAATCATTATGTATGATTCGCCACGCGAACTCTGTTATTTGTCTGTTTCATGTTGTCATCTTATGTTTTCTTGTGTTCTTTTCCTTTTATTTCCTTTTCTTTTTTTTCTTTTTTTCAAATATGGGTTCTCGAATATTTGTAGTAGTCTCATGTATTTATACATATTCTTTTTCTTTCTTAGTTTCCTTTCTGGTAGGGAAGAGGGTCGTGAAGTTGTTTCATTAAAAATATTAATTTGCCAAGAGATGATCCCTTTATCTGCAAGGTCGGAATTTATAGAGGGTCCCAGCTCATATATAGATAAGGGTTTATTTCAACAACAAAAAAGATGGATAATAAAGGGAACTTGTTTTCATGTAACTATCTTACACTAAACGTGAGGGGAATTAGAGATAGAAGCAAACGAGAAAAAATGTTTAATTGGTTTAGGACAAAGTCTATAGATATAATATACTTACCAGAAACATACAGTACACCTGATATCGAAAAGAAATGGCAATTGGAGTGGGGCGGGAATTGTATCTTTAGTCATGGTACAAGCCACAGTAGAGGAGTTTTGGTATTAATAAATAGTAAGTTAGACATTGAAATTAGCGACACTTGTGCAGACATAAATGGAAGATATTTATTGATTAGATGTAATATACAAGGTCAGAAGATGTTGCTAGGAAATGTTTATTTTCCTACTGGAAATAACGAAGGGGAGCAAATAAAATGTTTAATGGATTTAAGGGAGTTGTTGTATAGAAACAATTCAGAAGGGAACCCAGTAGTTCTTGGAGGTGATTTTAATGTTATTAGAGACAAGAACTTAGATTATTTTGGACAAGTTACAAAGAAGCAATCAAAATTCAGTAGCAAATTAGAAGAATTCATGGATGAATTTAAATTAAGAGATGTATGGAGAAATAAAAATAAAGATAAAAAACAATATACTTATAGACAAGGGAATCCATTTATGCAAAGCCGTTTGGATTATTTCATTATATCAGAGAATTTAGAACAGATAACATCCAAATGTGACATTATTCCCTCCTTAGCACCCGACCATTCAGCTGTTAATTTGGTTCTGCATGATAGAACGTCTAGACAAATTCAGGGTAAAAGGGGTTATTGGAAGTTCAATAATAGCTTGGTAAATGATAGAGACTATGTTTTAAAGATGAAGGAAGAAATACAGACTTTAAAGAACAAAATGTTATCTGAGATAAAAGACAAGAGAGTATTATGGGACTATATCAAAATGGAAATACGCAGGTTTACAACTAAATTTTCAAAGGAAAGGGCAAGGGAAAGGAAGGAAAAAATAGAAAAGCTAGAAAAAGAAATTGAAGACTTGGAAGAGAATCTACTATCAATCAATAATGTACATTATAAAGATATCCTTGAACAACTGAAAATTAAGAAACAACAACTAAGAGTATTTTATGACTATATTAATGAAGGTTTAAAAATACGATCAAGGGCCTCTTGGTATGAATGTGGAGAGAAGAATACAGCATTTTTTAAACAGCTCATGGAAGCAAATAGAAAGAAAAGTGTAATACAGAAATTAAACGTAAACGGAAAGATTGTTACTAAGGAAAAAGAAATTGTCGAGGGAATAAAACAGTTTTACAGTCAGTTGTATAAAAAAATAGAAGTTGTACTAGATGGAGGTTTAGAATTTTTCCCTAGTAACATGCCAAAATTGAACGAGACCTTAAGGGGTTTAGGTGAAGAAAAGATAGTAGAAAGGGAATGTATAGAAATATTAAAAAATATGAAATTAAATAAATCACCAGGAAATGATGGCTTAAGTGTAGAGTTTTATCTTAAATTTTGGCCGGTAATTGGAGATCTAATCCTTGCATCTTTTAATGAAGCCTTTAATCATGGAGAACTATCGGCCTCTCAGAGACAAGCAGTTATTACCTTGATACATACAAAAGATAAAGATTCAGACTTTATTAAGAATTACAGACCGATTTCTCTTTTAAATGTGGATTATAAAATTTTAACAAAGATACTTTCAAAGAGATTGCAAGAAATTTTACCTGATATTGTATCTTCTGATCAACTTGGATATGTTAAGAATAGAAACATTGGAGAAGCCATAAGAATAATAGATGACATGATTTTTCATACTTCTTTTTATAAGGAAAATGCTTTTTTGATGGCCTTAGATTTTGAAAAGGCATTCGACTCTGTTTCTCATTGTTTTCTATACAAAGTGTTAAATTCATTTGGTTTTGGACCATTGTTTTGTAAATGGGTGAATATACTTTATACTAATACTGA